ACGACCTTGGAGCCCCCCGCCCTTGAGGTGTGGAGGTGTGTCCGGTTATTATGGCCATGGTACGATGTTTGAAGGGCTAGCTCGCCGCAGGTAATGCGTCTCATGCACGCCTACCCGCCTGTGCGGCAGCCGGGAGAGCGTGCTTGGGACGGAGCAAAGGTGTCACTGTGCCTGAGCTGTGCTGGCGCTGACAGGCAGCCGGAGCTAAGAAGAGGCTGAATGATTTCGAGCCGAGACATGTGAAGGACGGGGAGCCAGGAATCCAGAGGAAGATCAAGACCGCAAACAGGGACGCCACCAAGCTTGCCTCCTACTGTAGTACATAAACGTATCGTGCTAGGACTCGTGCCGGCAACCACCACTGCACTGCACTGCGGGCTTGTCCACGGCCCTGCTCGGACTAGCAAGCTGGAACATGGTTCACCGTCCTCGCCAAAGAAAAAAAAACCCCCGCTGCAGCTTCGACGTGCTTGGCCGGGTTGCGGATTGGACCAGCGGCTACCGGCTGTTACATCGAGAGACAGCAGATCGCCTTAGACGGAAAAGCAAAGAGTGGAACCCCCGGGCGTGGATTCGAAGGGGAGGACCAGCAGTTGATTGCCCAACATGAAGAAGGTAAGGCGTGGAGGGGGGGGGATGATAGGTTTTCCATTTCTGACAGCTCCCATGGGCCCCAAGTTGACGGAGAGGAAACTGTACAACGCATGCACATGTAAAAGAGTAAAGAGAGAAGAGAAAACGGAGGGAGAAGTCGAGGAACAAGGGCGGTGAGAAAAGTCGACAGGACATTGGCGGGCGCCACACCAAAGGACCGCATGGTACCAGCACCAAGACGAAGAGATACTTGCGGGCGTGCGTATCTAGCAAGGTTCGTGCAGGTAACAAGTACATGCACCTGTCGTACCAAAGAAGCGCGCCTTGCAGGCTGCGGCAGAAAGGGAGTGCAGCAAGCAAGCCGGAGCTTGGCGGAGAGAGAGGGGGGGAATGCGCATTGCATAGAGGAAGAAAGAGAAAAAAGAAAAGAAAATTTAATTTTGGGTCGAGGTATTATCGAGGCGGAAATCGCACATCAACGCAGGTTTGCTCCCCCCCAAAGTTGCAGCCCGGCGGTTGTGCGTGCGGCTCAGCTGAAGGATTTCACAAGCGGCAACGCATCCCGCAAGCGGCCAACGTGCGATGACGAGTTACCGGCACGACGGTACGGGCTGATGGGTCTAGGCAGGTAATTTTGTTTCTTTTTCCCTTTTTTTTCCCCCTTCCTTTCTTACTCTCGGAGAAAATATGGTAGCAAATTACTTTTTTTGTCCACATCCCGTCTCATCTCGTGTGCAAGCGGGTTGCGAGTCAGACAGACAAAAGAGAGACAAGGCAGATGGGCGTCGCCAACAAGCGAGAGGTACCAGTACCGGTATGAGTCGAGTATACTTGCATGTACCAGCACCAGCACCAGCATCCCATCCCGGACTCGGCAGTTCCGCTACAATTGAAGCTTGGACCTGACGCCTCGTTGTGGACGCCGCACGGCGCTCCCTCCAGCCTCAGGTGTATTGCTTTGATGCATACAAAGTACAGGGAGAGAACGGACTGGTGCAGTAAATTGCCGTCTATTACTAGTAATTTCATTGAGAAGGGCTGACGGCATGGGGGAGGGAACCTTTGGTTTAGTTCAGTCCAGTCCATGTATGTACAGCACAGTAGCCGTTCTGATGGGATGGGGGGTCGCGGACGCAACGCAGCCCATCGCATCGAATCGAACGAAGCGCACTGCAACTGCGCTGCGCTGCACTGCGGTACCCGCTCCATGCCTCGTGCCTGTATCTGTATCTGTACCCGCGCCCGTGCCCGTGCCTGTACCCATACCTGCGCCTGTACCCGCGAGGTACCGCACCGCATCCAACCCAGCCCAGGGAGTTCCCTTCTGGAGCGAAAAAGGGCAAAAGGGCACTACCGAGACCTGAGGCTGGAGGATGACACACCGCACCAGACTGTCGGGTCCGGCTGTTGCTGATTGTGCCACATTTAACCAGAGCGCTGGGCCTGGCTTTTGCCCTTGGACGGCAGCAAGTTTTTGGGGGCACAAAGCAAAAAGGATAGATGCACCGCTAGAAGAGAGCTGGCTAACCGGTAGCATTCTAGAGCTTTTTTTTTTTTTTTCGCCTCGAGCTGTGCTAGCAGCAGTCCTAGGCAAACTACAAGGTAGGCCGGTCGTAGCAACTGGAGCAGAGCCAGCTTTGGTGGCTTTCAGGTTTCAAGGTTTTCTGCTGTAGCTCCAAGCTCTGCGCCGTTTTTTTAGTGCTGGTAGCACTCAGTGGTGGGAGAGAGCTGGAGCTTGCTGCTGCTGCTGCCCTAGCTAGACAGGACAGGACGAAGCAAACGAGACAGACAGGCCGGGGCAGTTTGATGATGGCCGGGCTTGGCATTATTCACCCGATGTTTTTGTTTTTCAGCTCTGTCTCTCCATCTCTTTTGTTTCCCTTTTCCCTTTTGCTTGCCGCCACCCGAGTGAGAAAAGTCCGGGAGTGCATCCCATGTCTTGCTCAAGCCAACCATCCAACCCCATCCCATCCATTAGTACTAACATCAACATATCCATACCAACACGCCCCTAGCACTCAAGTTTAGCAGCCAATGCCTAGTAGGTTGTCCTCTGTACTGTACGGAGTAGCAGATCCATTGGATACTTTGGCCCCCTAGCGACCATCCATCCACATTTGCGCGCAGCTTCGGCGGAACGGTCCACCGCCTTAGCTGTTTGTGTGAGCTCTAGCGCCTCGCATGATGGAGTGCACACCACCCAAAAATCGCCCATTTTCCCTTAGCACCGATTTGCCTGCACTGGAATTCGGCTGTCGATGACGGGAAAAAAAAAGACAAGACAAGACAAGACAAAACAGCCCAGCAAACCCGGATGGGACACAAGCCGCCAGAAGGGAGGAGTTGCAGCATGTGCTTTGCCCTGTGTCCTGGGTACATGTACATTTGCACCGACCCTCGCCTCGCTCGCCTGGCTCTCGCTTCGCTTCGCCTTCCATGCGTGTCCGCCTCGTAAATCGAGCATATAACTCCGGTCCGTAGGTACTGGCATCAATGCTGCTCCTCGCCTCGCCTAGTAGGTACATGTGCTGGGTTTATAGTACCTAGGCCTATATCTACACCCAACCTAGGTAGATGAAATGGAGCAGATGCAGTGCAAATGTACCTTTTTGCCGCACAAGGTTTCGGCCATGGCATCAGGGTCTGAATCCTCCCGATCTTTTTCTTTGGGTGGCTTCGAGCGCATCTCCGGTTCTACCTACCCCTCTTGCATTTGCAGCCTTTTGGGTCTTGTCTTGTCTGGTCTGGTCTGGTCTGGTCTGTGGCTGTTCGAGCAACTTTCACTTTTTCGCCCCTGCTGGAATGCGTCGCCCGTTGCATCCAGCCAATCCAGCGCATTTCGGTTCTCGTTGGCCTCTCTGGCTTCAAAGTCGTTGAATTCAATTCAGTCCTGGTAATACCTGGGCTGTATAATCAAGTGAGTACCCAGTGCCCAGTGCCTGGTCATGTTCAATCGTCTCGTCTCATCATTTTTTTTGTTGGTTTTTGGTTGGCCGCGTCCTGCGTTGTGTCTGCAAAACCCCCCCTTTGCAATAGCATCCCATCCCATCCCATCCCATCCCCCCCGCCTTTTGGCCTCCAATCTTGCTATACTAAAACTAAAAGTGCTAGCCAAAAGGCATCCAATCCATCTTCTGCTTGGCTCGGCAGCTCTCGTCACTTATTCCAGTTTTCCCCCCCCCTTCCCTTCCCTCCCAAGTCCCGACAGTACGGCGCCCAGGCAAAACGGTAGCTCTAGTAATAAGCCACTCTCCACCCGCTACCAGATCTCTGGCTCAGACACCGACCAACAGCACAACTATACCTTACTAGAACTCTTTTTGTCTCGGCCCACGCCCTCGACGCCCTCGTTTTCCCGGGCCCTCCACGCACCCCCCCGGGGATCCCTCCTTGCCTCGACGTAGCAGTGCGAGTACAGTGGCTGGCAGGGTATCCTCACTGCTAAAACAGAGCAAACTCCCGCCATCCGGCCAGAAGACCCCAAGCCCAAGGCCAAGGGACCACCCCCCCCATCTCTGCTCCTCCTCCTCCTCCTCACCCCCCCGGACTTGGACTTTGCATCAGTACTCGCCCTCTTCTCAACTCTCACTCACTCTCACCCTCTACTGTAATATTTTTTTTTTTTAATTACGAGTACACTAAACCTTCCCACCTCCGCCATCCCTGCCCTCCCCCGTGTCTCTGGCCCGAGTTCCCTTGTCTGACGCCGCTATTTAGCAGCTGTCAGGTCAGTGCTTATGTGCTTGTCTGACCCTCCATCCCAAGCTGCTGGGAAGACGGAGGATTGTGAGCCAGAATCGCCTCGCATTGGCCAGTCGCCAGTGCCCACCGACCGGTGACGGGACCCAGCCTACTGGGCCTGCAAACCTGTGCTTGTGCTTGTGCTTGTGCTTGTGCTTGTGCTTGTGCTTGTGCGTGCGTTGCGCGTGCCTTTTCCCGTGTCCGCGGCCGCTGTCTGGTCTGGTCTGGTCTCTGTCTGGCCTGTGTCTGGTCCGGCCTGGTCTTTGAGGGGGCGTCTGCTTCGTTCAATTTTCATTGCCGCACCCTCCCGTCCCTCTCCTCCTCTCAGCCCTTTTTGGCTTGCTGCAAATCACTCGGGGCCCTTCCAATTCTGTGCTAGAATAGATCGACCTTGGCTCCCCGAAACGGAGCCCTTTCACTCATTTCTTTTCTCCCTTTGCAACGCCGCCAGAACGCTTGGCTGGACACTTCGATCCAATTAGCCTCGTTTCTAGCATAAACATTATTATTCGACTCTTCCCCCCCCCCTCCCCTCTCGTCTTCCCCAAGTTCAAAAAGCTTCTTCTCATCTCTTTCCCTTCTCTCCACCCCCCCTCAGAACTCCTCCCCCTACACCTTTGCCTTGATATTGAGGAAGCCTGTCGTTATATACGCCTTTGGCCGCCATGAGCCTCAACAGTGCACAAGGCCCTCCCGGGTCCGGAGGGGGCGACCATCACGGCTCCAGCGAGGACTCAACGTCAGATTATGCCGAGACCGTGGACTTTTCCGAGTTCACATCCATCGACACCGCCCAGATGGTTCACAGATACAAAAACGGGAGGTATGTCAAGGAATCCCTGGCAAAAACGCCCGCTTGCCCCCTTGAGTGGCAAAAAAAAAGAACAGGGAAGAAAAGAAGGGGAAAAGAAGGAAAAGAGAAAAAAAGAGGCCAAAAAAAAGAGGAGCCCCGAGTCAAGTTCATGAGAGCTGACCAGTCAATAGGCGGTATCAGGGCTGGTTTGACGAACGCTATGGACTGCCAAACGACGACACGGAGCAGGCCCGCGAGCACCTCAAACACAGGGTCTACTCCGACTATCTGCTCAACGGCGACTACTTTATCTCACCGATCGGCAACAACCCCCAGAAAATCGTCGATCTGGGCACCGGCGCCGGCTTCTGGCCCATCGATGGTTCGTATCACGTCCCTCCTCCTCCCCCTTCTGTCAGCCCGCGGAGAGTCTTTTTGAACAATGCTCTCCACCCTCGGTTCCAGCTCAACTAACTCCTCCTCCTCCTACAATAAAGTGGCCGAGAGATACCCGAGTGCTCGTGTCATTGGCAGCGACATTTCTGCCATCCAGCCTCCTTGGACACCGCCAAACGCAGAGTTTCGCGTGGAAGATCTCGACGACGAGAACCGTCCGTGGACGAGAATCTACGCCGGTGCAGACCTCATCCACACAAGATCCGTCATACAGACGGTCCGCAACCCCGAACTGTTTCTGCAGAGAGCTTTTGAGTACGACTGTGATCCGATCTATGCGTTTCATTCCTTTGTTTCATTCCTTGCTTCTTTTCCTTCACACTCCCCGTAGAGCGAGAGCGAGAACAAGAACAAGAACAAGAACAGTGGCTGACCGAGTTCGAAATAGGGCCTTGAAACCTGGCGGCTGGATCGAGTGTCATGATCTCTTCATCCCCCTTACCTGGGAAGACGGCACGCCCGCAATCGACCATCCCGTCCAACGCCTCTACGACCTCGTAAACGACGGCCCCTTTTCGCGAAAGTACGGCTGGCAGCTCTACTTCCCCCCGACGCTGCCCCAGGTCCTCCGCCAGATGGGCTTCGTCAACGTCCAGGAGCAGCACACGCCCATCCCCGTCGGCCGATGGTCGCGCCGGTCACGAGAGCGCGAGATGGGCATGTTTAACCAGGACAACCTCATCGACTGGACCGCCGCCCTGCTCATCCGACACGATGACCTGGGCATCACCGAGGAAGAGGCGAGACAGCTGTGTCAGGAGACGCTCATGGCCATGGACAACACCAAGCTCCATGTCCGGCTCGACTGGGGCATTGTCTGGGCTCAAAAACCGTTATGATCTCGACAAGCCAACGACGGCTTTATGAACATTTTTACGAAAAGAAGAGAAGAAAAAACAAAGAAGAAGAAAACAAGGGATAAAGGGGGGGCACGGTGACGACTGCATTACACTGGCTAAGGGAAAGAGAGGAGACAGAGTCCCTCTTTGACACGACTTCATGTTGCATGGTGATATCTCGCCCGGGGAAAAGGGCCCAGCTGGCGGCTTCGCGAAACGATACATGACGATGGCATATACTCTGGGTTTTCAATTTCTTTTCCTTCTCCCTCTCTCTCCCTCTCCCTATCTCTCACTCTCTCCTTTTGGGGGTGAACTGCCTACGTGGGGGCTGTTTTGTCCAGAACATACAACCGAGCACCGCTTTTTGTCCAAGACTCCTAAGCGCCGAAAAAACTAAAAGAGACAAAAAAAAGATATTTAAAAAAAAAGAAAAAAGTTATAGGACCGGCAAACAGACGGTGGGGAGAGGAACCACATTATTCAACCGCTGGCATTTTTCCCCAAATCTCCATCGATTATCCTACTGCAGAATGCCTCATCACACGCACACGCACATGCCACGCATACAACACACCCCTGGCATCACCCCATCTCCCCCAATCACGCAAATCTTCTCTCTTCTTCTACCTTACCTCTACAGAAACTTTCACACATCGCATACCAAAGCATTTTGGGAAAACATGGACCGTTTGCATCATGGAGAACATCAAAATTCGGTTATACGGCGCTGGGCTTCGGGAACTTTTACAAGAGCGGGAAACGAAAGAAACGGGCAACATGTTTTGTTTTTGTTTAGGTTTTTTTTTCGGGGTGTCATTTTATGGGTGTATATTTGGAGGGGGGGGGTTACCATCAAAGAGGATAAGAGAAAATGTCCACTTTACTCTGGGGATATCTCTCTCTTTTTTTTTTATCGGGAGGGACAGGCTCATGAGAAGCGCTATATATTTTTGGCGCTTTCAGCTATCATCTTGTTTTTGGCTCTAATCTTTTTTTGGAGAGGGGTTTAGTTTTGTGATATCTTGGCTGGTTTTTTTTCTTTGTATTTTTTTTTTTTGTTTTTTTGAAACAATCATACTCTGTGAGTGGATGGGTTTTCATCTACCTACCTACTATACTTATACCTGGGCTTTGCTGTGGACGTGGACGTGGGATAGACAAGAGATGTCACGAACAAGGCGGATACATATCCCATCAATCACCACTTCAAACACGGTTCCCACAACAGCCGAACGACAGTTACGGTGTACGGGAGTTGAGAGATGGTTATCAAATGCGTGATCTGGCAGAAGTCAATCCGGATGCTACCCTGTCCGGGGGTGGTGGGTGACACCTCTTTTTCCTCTTCTTCTTCTTCCCAATCAACCCTGTCCTCTCTCTTTCTTGGTCCTACGAGTTACATATAACATCCTTGTTCCGCCCAACGTTTCCCCCCCTGTCGACTTTGTTGGTTCTTTATGCCTTTTTACCCACCCCGTCACTGCTGCAATTCGCAAGACAAGCCAATTCTCTCTCACGGAGCCCCTTCCGGGTATTCCAAGACTCCCTCCCCGCCCAATCAATCACACTGGATTCTTCAACCTTCTCGCTGTCTGCCCTCCCTGATCGGATATAAGAACGCCCATCCGCAATGCACAAACCCACTTCTCTTTTTTTTTTTATGATGCATTAGCCGCCCATCAGGGCTCCCCCCCCTCCGATCATGGGCAGAGAAAAAAGAGGTCAGCAGTTGCTTGGTTACAATGTTGACAAAAAAAACTTGCCCACTACCTACCATCGGGCGCCGGGGGGGTTTTGGGTAAGGGTTCGCACTGTGAAAAGCGTCTGGTAAGGGCTCTGGTAATGGTTTTTGTACTTCCGTAATGGTTTTCTACCCTAACTTCATTGCTCATAACGATTACCAGCCTAAAAAGGCTGACCAGACCACTGACTAAAAACCACCCCCGGGCTCCTAGGTAGCCAGCCAGCCAGCCTCGTTCCTTTTTTTGGGGGCCCTTTTCTCTTCATGCCTACATGTGACCGATCGCTTTGGCGGAGATTGCAGGGCCCCGATTTGTATTTTTGACCGTTTTGTACTGTGCTGTATCTTGAGGGTGTGTACACATGCACATGCACATGCTACTACTGTATGGGCTTCTTCGTTGTTTTTGCCTTTTCGGTTGAAGGCGTGTTTTCTCCGCTGGTATTAATCTGGTACATGTGTGATGGCAGTGACAAACATTTGAATACATCGATGCCCTGGACAAGCCATGAGAAAAGAAGGACTTGACAAGATCATAATAAAACTAGTACCCCAACATCATTCATCCAAAGGCCAAATAGAATTGTATACGAAGTACAATCATGCAAAAGGACGACACTGCCTACATGCTTCAAATGCACCAGAACTGCCCTTTCCAGACACCCCTCCCCCCCCAAAAAAAAAACACACCGAACCTCCACCCAGGGAACCTACAGGGATCCCCCATACACGACAAAATAGGTTTGCGAGAATACCGCCATGAATTTATAATACCTTATTTCCCATTTCTTCCTCATGACGTTTACCGGGAGACACAAAAAAAAAGAGAGACTGAAAACCCCCATAATCATACTAGTTTCTTACATCCCCTGTCCTACAAAGCGGTGTCCATGATTTAGGTAAATTATGAAGAAAAAAAAAAGAAAACACTTTTTACTCGTCACCTTTTATGAACCGAAAAAAGAAAGATTATTATGGAGTCAAAGTAGCGGACCGATGCGACGGAACGAAACGAAACGATACATAAAAAAACAATAAGAAAGCTGGGGGGGCGGAAAAAAGGCGTTTAGAAATCCGTCGCTTTGTTGTTTTTGTCATGGGGGGGGGGGGGGATGTTGACCATGGCGTAATTGCTGTCAATTTTACCCAAATACATACTTCCTAACCCCCAGCGTTTACCTGTAATCGTTCTCAGGAACCAAGTTAGAAAATGAGGTGAGATTCTTATTTTTGCTCCATGAAACAAAGACACGAAGCCGGCGGAGTTGCCCGATTCTCACGAATACAAAATGGTCGAGCTAGTAGAGAGGCCCCAGGCTTACCAACGTCGGTGGTTCCCATGCTGCCGGGGTTGGGTTCCCGAACGGCTCGTGGCGTCGGCGTGGCCAGACAGACAAGCGACGCTGTGATCGACATCGATTGCTTGCGACGGGGGGTTTAAACGAGGCGTATTACGGAGAAGTGAATGGTTCTATTGGAATCTGACTGCCCTGGAAAAAAGAGCCTCTGCTGAGTGATGATGACTATTCCTATACCGCCGTCTTACCTGTTACCGTATGTAGTATCTCCTCCTCCCAATACTATTAACCAATATACACTACAAAGTTCGTGTGATATTTCAAAAGGAATAAACAGTGAAAAGAAGAAAAGTACCGCTCCGCGTCGTGTATGTACGCACACAAATCCGAGGGGTGACATCTCTCAATCCCTCCCTCCCCCCTTTTCTCCCTCCTCCGCCATGCTAACGCACGTGTGCTGCTCTCCTGCTCTAGTTTCCAAACATGTTTCCTCCCGGTCCTCCTGGCCCTCCTGGCCCGCCGAATCCGCTCATGCCGTTCCCGAAGCCTGCGTGATTAGGCGTCGTGAAGCCTTGGAACGTGTCGGCATCCTGATAGCCAGCCATGAGGAATGACCAATCCATCTCCCCGTCATCTCCAGACGCCGAACTAGAAGGAGCCATGGCCGGCTGAGGGGGGCCAAACCCGCCGCTCTGGTCCACTGGCGGAGTCATCATGACGGCGTTGTCTAGCGAGGTTGTCGACATCTCACGGGTACGCGGTCGAGGAAAGGCAACCGGCGGCTGCTCCTGGACGGGCCCAGTGGGACCCTCCGAGCGCGCCTTTCGCTTGGCCTCGACGCGCTCTTGAAGAGTCTTCATAAATCGCGGTGTTGCAACATCCTTCCCTGCTGCCCGCTGGGCGTCGTAATGGACCGCCCAAGCCTTGACGAATTGGCCACCGAAAACTCCGTGCATCGGGCTGTGAAGATTGGATAGTAAACCACGAAGGTCATAGTTCGCCTCGATGGCCGCCCACGCTCTCTCTACCAGCGGTCCCGACTGGCGCTTGCGCAGTTCCTGGACAAGGAACATGTATGCAGGAAACGGGAAATAGTGCATCGCGTACCATCTATACGGTCGAAGACTCTCCGAGGACATGACTACGTTATCATGTTCTACCCATGATATGGCCTGCGTAGTCAGGACGTCTCGTTCTATCTCACTTAGCGGCATAGGTTCGGCGCTATGTCTCCGAACAAGATAATTGATTATTCGCATCTTGCAGAGCGCCGCTCGCGTCATAGTCATGGTAAAGAAGTGGAGAGGAATCTTGGGATCGCAATGGGTCAGGTACGTGCCCTCCATGTGGGCACAGAATCCTTCAAGAGTGTAGACTGGAGCATCTTGGCCAGCTAGGCGGATCGTCACGGCGGGTGGCTTCCCTGCTTGTGCGGATTTCCCTGATTGTGGCGAGCCAGCGGAAATCTCCGGGTTCATCTTGAAGCTGTCTCGATTGCTGTTACTCGCCACGGCCATGGAAAGCTCGACGCGTGTCAGAGCAAAAAGCATCTCTGTTGGTCCTGTGTGCGGCTTCGGAGGCTCTTTGCCATCGGCGTGGAGGTCAGAATCATTGACGTTCAAAGGCTTCTTGCAGTCGCAGCCTGAGGTGAGGGCGGTGACTGTTGAGCCCGTCATCTCTCCGACTCGCCGGTCATATGAAACAAGCGTCCACCACAATCGCCGCCTCTGCTCGACCTCGAAAGGGGAGAGGCCGTAGCCGTCGGGGTCTCGGTGAAGGCCCATCCGCTGGGCGATACGAATGGCAATGCCCATCATGCAAAACACCTGCCTCGGGTCTATGTACCACCGGACGGTCATCTACAGTATACGTTAGCGGGGACATGATATAAGAGACACCCTCCGTTGGTCTATAGAATAATCAATTTGAGAAAAAGAGGAGTAGAGACTTACAAGATATAAGAGATACGCCTGCAGGGTCAAGGGATCGGGAATCCGCATAAAACTGGCGTTAACCAGGGCCTGCTGAAGTGCCGGGAAATACCGGCCAAGAAGTTCCTGCTTTGTCTCGCCAAAAATCCTCTGGATTTCAGCATCCTCTATCGAGTTTATAGAGATTACGTAGATGCCAAACATGAGGGCCTCTATATTCTTCGAAGCCTCGTGAGGCCGAGAGGTCGCCTCGATGATCTTGCTCTGGATGCTAGGCACATGCGTGATTTTCAGCAAGGGGTTGATGTTGTCAATGTATATCTGCCAAAGCTGTAGCACCTGGACAGGAGAAGGGTGGTTGTGAGTGACGGGGGCAAAGGAGCCTCCGATGATGAAAGGGAAGCCATCTTGGTTTTCAAACATCTTATCAAAGGCAGAATGAATGAAAGACCCCTTCTTGAAATTCTCATCCTCATCTTCGGATGAGTCTTTCAACAGCTGTTCGCTGGCTCTAAACTGTTTCACAATGGCAGTCAGGATCAAGAGTAAGACAATGGGGATAAGTGTACCTGGGTACATGTTGGACTAGGCTCTTACCTCTTTATGGAGAGAAAACCAAGCTCCAGGCGGCTCTTGGGGACTAATAATAAGCAAGTTTCTTGAATCAGCATCGAGTTCCTGTTACTTCCTTGCATGTCCTATGCGGCATATATCTTTGTCTAGTTGCATAGGGACTAATGTGAACATCAACTTACGCGACAGTAGAAGAGGTAGCAAGTGCTTCTGGAGAGGTCTTTAACCCCTCAAAGTCGGTTTCAAGCTCGTCAACATCGTCTCCGAGGTTGCCGTCTGCCCTGTAGTCCGGGTCGATGGCATCAAATTTGACGCCGTTCTGTGCCAGCAGCGTCTCATACTTGCGTAACCGCTCGAGCAAGTCCTTTTCCTGCAGCTTTTTGCGCCGCCGCCTCGGAGGCTGCGGAGGAATCACTCGACATTCGGCACCAGCCTTGACGCAGTTGGCACATGGCTTGTTCCTGTCGCACCGGACCTTGCGCTGCTGGCACAAGACACAGCTAGTGCCCCGGGTGAGTTTGATCACCGAAGGGTCAACAGCCGGAGGTGAGTGTTGGGGAGGCCGGCCTTGGGAGGCGGATGGCGGCGGCGGGGCTGAGCCGGGGCCTGGCAGGCGAGCAGAAGCTTCAGCAGACATTCGCCTAGAGGACGGGCAATTGGCTGCTAAAAAAAAAAAGTCCCGAACTGGAGGGCCCGATCCAGTGGCATTCAAAGGGCGCTGGCCCAATACTTCTTGGCTAGTCAGCGGCGAGAGCTGGCACGGACTGATTGGCGGACGCTGACACAACCCTGCATGCAGTTGCAGCTGAGCTGAATCGATCAGTTCTGCTTCAGGGCGCTTTTTACGCTGGATTGCAGCGCCTGTAGGGCTGAGGCTCGGCTGGGGCCGTCGGTTGCGAAAGAGTCGTCTCGGACCCGGGCCCAGACTTTGTTGGAGACGGTTCGTCTGGCGATATTTGAGGGGAGCGAGGAGAGAGAAAGCGGGGGCTCATTTGCGGTTGTACGCGGCCAGGCCAATGGGAGGCAGATTAGCAAGCCGGTGGGGATTCGGGTGGCATGGAGCCGCTTTTCTGCCTTGTTGGCCGAGATTTGATGGTTGAATGCGGAAACATTGATGTTGACATGGCGTGGTTTTGGCTTTGTTGGCGATGTACTCGTATATCATGACGTTGGTTGACCAGGAACCAACGTTTGGAGGAGATGGAATAGAGTAGCCTCAGGCACCAGGTACCTTCCGTAGTAAATGCCACATCTGGTGGGTTGGGATGCCTTATCGGAAGAAATCTCTATCGATAGGTAGATTGGGGGCTTACCTTTACTGTACATGCAAATGTATCTGCTGTTGCACTTGACACTGCTGGAATGCAGATGCAATCAATGCATTGCATGCGAACATTTACACGTAAATTACAGCTGATATGCTTCAAGGTTATAAGAGCAGTATTGATGATTTTATTAATTGGGTGTAAATATCTCGACAGCCGCTTTATATGAGTATATGCTTCATAACATGGCGATACCCGGTAAACCAAGTGTATAAATCTACCTATCCGAGGAATAATATCTCTAATAAGGCACCTCACTAAGGTATTCTGGTAAGACTGACTACCCGGTATCTAGTACTGTAAACCTCGATAGTCCTCTACTACTATGTACAACTGCTATAATCCCCTGATGGCTTTTTGATACTGTGTGTCTTGACGATGCTCTCTTACCATCACACATTGTAAGCTTGGTTGACAAGTACGTGTAAGCTTAACTAAAACAAGTAGTTCACAGCCCATCTACTGCGTTAATGTACAAACTCGCCCTCCACCGCCACTCAGCACTGCTTGTACTCCGTATCAGAGTCATCATGCCAACTCAACGACTACAAGCATCACCAGCCCTGCTTCATCCTCGCATCAACCTTCATCTCAACACGGCGAAAACAATTCGAAAACATGCCCGAAAACGCCCAACCAAACAATGTTATACGCTTCAGCTCGGGCTTCGGTTCGGGACCGAGAGCAAACGCCACGGCCCAACATGTACTAGCGCCCAGTTCCGTGCCCGAGCATGTAAGTCAAAGGGAGGCTCTTCGAATCACGGAGCCGAAGAATGCAGAGACGGACACGATATGGATTGTTTGCTTTTCTTCTGCCTTGTCGGCATACCTGATATGATAGGGCCGAAGGCAGACAGTGCCGGGCACGCGTAGCCGCATACGTGGACAAATGCCGTTTGTTTTCATCTATAAACTTCAAGGCTGTCTTGTAGCCATCTTCTTTACCGGCAGTCAAGCATAAACAACAATAGATCAATATTGAATCAACAGAGTGTATCCTGCTTTATTTCGTTTCTTCCGGCGCAACATCTAATAATCCATCACATCTCTTCACAATGTCTCTCCCCGATGAAAAAACAGGGGTGGAAAAGACACCGTCTCCCATCCAGCTACCCAGAGACTCGCTATCATCATCACATCATTCGCGAAACATCGATACCATAAGCGACGAGACGAACAGCCCAATCACGGAAAAGACAGATTCACCGCCAAGCGACGACAATGCCGAGGCTGCCAATCCCCAAGGCCCTACCCCTAACGGCACCGAAGCGAGCTACAAGCCAGGAACTCTCAAGTTCTGGCTCATCATCACCAGTGCCTTTGTGTCCATGTTCCTCGTTGCTCTGGATCGGACCATCATCTCCACTGCCATTCCCACAATCACCGACGATTTCCACTCCCTCTCGGATATCGGCTGGTATGGATCATCGTATATGCTTACGACGGCCGCCTTTCAATTGGTTTGGGGGCGCATTTACCGCTTTTACGATCTGCGCTGGACATTCTTATGCTGCATCGTCATTTTCGAGATTGGCTCTGCTATTTGCGGTTCTGCACCAAGCTCGTCTGTTTTTATTGCTGGTAAGCGTGCAATGGGGCGCAAGAGAAAATATGAATCCTTGAGACAAATACCTAACAAATCCATATAGGGCGTGCCATCGCAGGAGTGGGCTCTGCTGGCATCACGACCGGATCTCTGCTCACTACCATTGACATGATTCCATTGAGGAAGCGTCCCATGTTTCAAGGTACCACAAGAATCCCAAAAGTCTCAGATATCCAACGCATCTCCTAACCTTGTACAAACTAGCCGCGTTTGGTCTCGTGTTTGGCGTATCAAGTATTACCGGCCCTCTGATGGGCGGCGCCTTTACAGAAAACGTTTCGTGGAGATGGTGCTTCTACATCAATCTTCCCGTCGGCGCCGTTGCCTTCGCCTTTCTCTTCTTCTTCCTGAGACTTCCCAAGAAGACTCACCCTTCCGCCACCATCAAGCAGCAGATCCTTCGTCTCGACCCTCTCGGCACCTTCTTCTTCATCCCGTCTACGGTATGCCTCTTGCTTGCCTTGCAATGGGGAGGATCAAAATACGAGTGGAGCAACTGGAGAATAATCTTCCTCTTCATCATGTTTGGAGTGACTGCTTTGGCATTTGCCCTTGTTCAAGTCAAGATGCCCGACACCGCGTCGCTACCTCCCAAGCTCATTATTCGGAGGACCATGCTTTCTGCCACATTTTACATGCTCTTTATTGCAGGCGCCATGATGCTCTTGGTTTACTTCATTCCTCTGTGGTGTAAGTCCAGCCCCTCACCGTGGTTGAGAGAGCATTGACACTGACACATCATCTAGTCCAAACTACGCATGGCATCAGTCCCGTGAGATCTGGCATTTATACACTCCCACTTGTTCTGAGTCTCGTCGTCTCCGTCACCATATCTGGATTTATGACCCAGAAGATTGGATACTATTTGCCGGCTTTAATCATTGGTCCCTGCATAATGGCCGTCGGCGAAGGCCTTCTATACACATTGAAGCCGAGCTCTGGATCTTCTGAATGGATTGGTTACCAATTTCTCGCCGGGTTTGGTCTGGGGTTTGCATTCCAGACCGCAAATCTTGCAGTCCAGGCGACAATTCCGAACAAGGAGATCCCTACCGGGGTTTCCATTCTCTTCTTTGCCCAGCAACTTGGAGGTGCCATCTTTGTTTCCGTCGGCCAAACAGTGTTGAACACCTTGCTCGTTTCTCACCTGGAGGGCGTGCCCGGACTAGATCCCGCGAAGATCATCACGACTGGTGTGACTGAGCTTCAAAATGCTGTTCCTCCGCAGTATGTTTCGGTTGTGATTGATGCATACAATTACGCGTGTACGCACATCTTTATTGCTGCATTGGCGTTGACTTGTGCGCAGCTGGTTTGCGGCTGTTGCGTGGAATGGGGAACCGTCAAGAAGCCAGAGAACCAGCAAGGAAAACCACAGTGAACAAAACAAACATGGATTCAAAATTTACTTGAACCATTGGCGTTGCGACGGGATAGACAACTGGATAATGGAGTATATGCTAGATTAACTGGTTTCTTGGAATTTGGGAAACTTACTCTCCTCTCTGTTTATGTACATTTTTTTCAATTCACTTATGAGTAGTTTAAAATAAAATAATTGTAATTGGCTAATATCGTGTTTGTTCATTTTCCCCCTCCCGTTGTTGACCTACTTCACTACACCAACAATTGTTCTCACATCGTCATGCATCTAACCGTGATGATGTTCACGACAGCCCATCTCTACTATATAACCGCTCCAACATGCTCTTTCCTGGAGCTCAACTCATTCCCATCATACCAACCAAATCATCAAGAACCACCAAGCCTTCGCTCTCTCAATATCTACCCTCAAAATGTGTAAAGTCACCAGAACCAAGTACTCTTGCCGACATACCATTGCCGAGTATCAGTTCCAATGCTCTGACACGAGCGGAAGATGCGAAAAGGAAATCACAAACATCAACTCCAAAGATCAGTGCCAAAAGTGCAACCCCGATAACCGTCAAAAGAAAATCATGGACCTCTATGCCGAATACACACAGGAACTGAACAAGTTGGTGGAACTGGCAAAGGCTGAGGACTGCAAGACGATGACGGCGCAACTCGAAGAAATCATCAAGAGTCTTCCGGAGCAGAGGATCAAGGCTCTGGCAGAGATGCAGGAGAAGGCTGAGGTTGAAATGGCTGCGAAGAAGCGAATCGAGGCAGAGTTGGCTCAAGAGTCGAGAACGAGATGGCACTCTTGAGTTGTATCGTGGCCAAGTTTTGGAAGAGATGGATTGGGGAATGAAATGGATGCTAACGATATTATTTCATGGTCCAAGGATATAATTATTTTCTGTCTTGTGTTGATTGAAATACTTGAATTAAGTGTGCACGAAGCCTGTAAAGAGCCCTTTTGAGTCGTGGTAGATATATACCTGTATATTGAGTAGAAGTGAGCCTCTGGTACAACTACTACCTGGTATAGAAGCTTCAAGTACTGTAAGAGTCGAATGGAGCGTGGTTCAGATCAGATGAACATCTCTCATCGATATGATCTTCCATTGATATCAAACCGAAATGAAAAGAAAAATAAAAATAAAAAATCCAAATACAACAAGCATCTACGATGATCAACCAGGCCCGCTTAGTCATCGCTCTACTGCCTCTCAACCCCACGGCACGCGGGGCAGCTGTTCAACCTCCAACATCACCAACTTCACACATCTCAGCTCCCATCACGCTTCTTCTCTATTACACCATTTCCCCTACAACCCAGATAACAAGCTCAAAATAGCCACGACAGACACCAAATCACTTTTCACCGACAACACCGCAATATCCCTCCCGCCAACATGGATGCTCCCAGCTCCAACCCTCTTCTATCGACCCAGAAGAGCTCCCAGCTCCAGGCCGTCCTGCACCCGCTAGTGCTTCTCACAATCTCCGACTACATCACACGACACACTCTGCGGGAGCAAAAGGGTCCCATAATCGGAGCTCTGTTAGGCCAGCAGAATGGCCGCGAAATCACCATCGAGCACGCCTTTGAATGCCACGTCCAGGAAGCGCCCCAGGTCGATGGAGGCTACCTCATCAACGCAGAGAAGTTTGGAAGAAGATTGGAGCAAAGTGCGCCAAAGCCGCCGGCTACATCCCGTCGCGTGCTCTGCTAACTTGCCTTTTCAACCAGTGTGTCTTGTGCACAAAGACCGAAAACTGGACTTTGTCGGCTGGTACACGCTGCTGTCGTCATCAGGTCCCTCGCCTACGATCCTCCCCGTCCACGGCCAGATTCTCGAAAACTGGAACGAGTCAGCCGTTTTGCTAGGTTTCCACCCACAAGAGGTTGCGCAGCATTCAGTCGGCGGTAAATTGCCGTTGACGATATACGAGAGCAACTTCGAGGTCGACGACGCCAGAGGGGAAAACGACGGAGAGGATAAGAAGATGGACGACGGCGACTCCTCGCTCAAGCTGAAATTTCGAGAGGTGCCGTATTCTGTCGAGACGGACGAGACCGAAATGATTAGCATGAACTACGTGGCGAGCGGTGGTGGAAACGCAGCAGCCAGCGCCCCGGCTCCGGCCGTCAAGGAGGAAAGGCCAGCTCGTTCGATAGAGTCAAACGGAAAGGGGAAGCGGAGGCTGGTGGAAAGCGAGGTGGAAGAGAAGAAGGACGCGGCGGTGGATGAGGCGAGCGCTCTGTCGCGGGAGGAGGACGAGATGATTGCTTCGCTGACGGCCAAGGCCAACGCCATCAAGATGCTCCACTCTAGAATCCAGCTCATCACTACCTATCTGGAGCGCTTGCCGCCTTCGTACATCAACGGAGACGACCAGGGAGAGAGCATGGATACGGACACGAACAATACTACGCCGTCTCAAAACATTCTTCGACAGATCCAGGCTCTAGTCAGCCGTCTCGACCTCGTCATCCCGTCAGACAGGGAGGCCTTCGAAAAGGAAGTCCAGAGCGAATCCAACAACGTCCACCTCCTCGGCCTTTTGAACTCCATCATGCAGGGCGTCAACCAGGCAAAGGACGTGGGCAGGAAATTCCATGCCATTGAATCAGGCAAGGGCGCGGCGAGACGCGGGACGATGGATTATAATATGAGCAGTGTCCCGTTTAACATTCCGGGAACGGGCGATCTGCACGTTTGAGGATGATACAAGGCTTTTGTTTGTGAAGCTAGAACTTTGGGTGTGTTTTTTGTTTGCTTGAGGCATTATCAAGGGGCGTTCTTTTTCTTTTTCTTCTTTACTATGCGTTCAATGCAAGGAACGTTTGATAGATGGGTAATGAATGACATGACGAGGGCTGGCGCTACCATTAGCCAGAATTAAATTCGCAGGACAATTGAAAACGTGCACGCAATACCATTATTCGAATTCATTCTTAGTAAAAACAACTCTATTCGATTTCTACACTCTTAATTATTCGTCAACTTGGTTCGTTTCTTAAAATTGAGTATAAACATGTGCTCGTCTGGAACTATATTTCAACGACAACGGCCGCACTTTGGCACCGAGTAGACAACATGAGCCATCCCCCCCTTTATAAACTCACCAGCGTCTCTTAGAAAGTGCTCGTAGCCAACCGGCTCGCCGCATTTCTCGCGTCGATTCGGTCCTCGTCATCCTCCTCCAGACCAACCAAGTTGCCGAGCCCGCTTCCAATCTTACCAGACCCAGGCTCCTGGCGGTCCTCGCCTTCAGCTTCCTCCGACACCTTGCCGACGCCCGAGGTGCTGCGGCTAGTGGCGTCGGACCGACGAGGAACGCCGCTCCAAGCATCTCCCTTAGGTCCCTGGCTGGCAGCGAGGCTCGTTCGTCGCACGGTAGGATGAGCTTCGCGGCCCAGACGGCTCAGGCCACCAGAGGCATCGATGGACCGGATGTCGGCTCTCACGCTCTCGAGGAGGGCCAGCGACCGACGCTCGGCCTCAATCTCGCGGAGGACAAGTTCTCTGATTTCCAGACGCAGGTCGCTGGCCGTTCTGTCGAACCACCTGCGGCGTTCTTGCACGAGGCTCTGGGTAACTCTACTTGTCTTGTTGAAGAGCTGGGTTTCGTTTGTTCGGGCTTCGTCGAGGGCTGCGATGGCCTCGTCGACCTTTTCTCGCCGGACGCTGGAGCTGGCCTTGAGACGATCGGCAGCGTTTAGCTTGCTTCGTGTTACCTCTTGGGCTTGCAAGAATTCGCGGATGAGGATTTGACGGTTGGTGAGAGACTCCTTGACGATGAAGGCATCCTGCGAGTGGTACTGGAATGGGTCGCCAATGGTGGCAGCCTCAGCCGTGGCTTGAGCGGCGTGATAGTCTCCAACAGTCTGAATCACCCGACCAAGCTTCTTGTAGGCGTTTGCCAGTCCTGGATGCGGCTCCTGGACATGCATGGCGCCAAGCTTCACGCCGTAATCAGACTCGACAAGTCCAAGACCTACAGTTTGCAGTTATTAGTAAGGAAACGTAGACTCGCTTAACCACAGCACCCTTGTCTTACCTCTCCTGGCCTTGACGAGCTTGTCGACCTTGTGGCCAGCATCCATGGTACCAAGATAGAACAGCTTAACGACAGGACGAGCCTCTGCGAGCTCAGGGGTATCATCGGGAGGCGGAGCAAACTGCTTCAAAATCTTCCTGCGAACGCCAGTTGCGGGCTGCTTTCTCTTCACCAGCGGGCTGTAGCCAAAATCGCTTTCAACAAAAAGCACCATCTCATCGTCTCTCATCAACACCTCGTTCCCGCACACATAGTTGAACCATCGCTGCATCAGGGCCTTGACTCGGTTTTCATCCTCCTCCGTACCAGCGCCAGCCGATGTAATGGGAGGGGGGACAGCGGGTACCAGAGCTTCGGGATTTGCGGATATCAAGTGCTCTCCAAGCTTGACAAACTCGGAATGCAGACGTCGGACATCTCGGTACTGGGTGGTGCGGAATCGGGGCAGGTTGGTCTAGGAGCGGCTTGTTAGATCAATGGCACTCTCTAGTGACACGGTAGAGAGGACAGCTCACATGGACGTCAAATCGCAATATCGGATCCTTCTTTCCCGTTCGTTCCAGCCCTGTAATTTTTGCCTGCAGCCGGAATTGGGGCTGCGGAGGCTTCCGAGGCTGTTGCGCATCTTCTGATGGCGCCTCTGTTGAAGCTGCTGACGGGGGGGCCTCGGATTGAGGCACAGCGCCAGACTCTGAAGAAGCAGTCAATCCCGCATCCTCATGATCGCTCCCTCCGCCAGCCGCAGGCGTTATCGAGCCAGACTGCGGAAAGACATCGTCACCACTTGGTCCCAGGCCGTTGGACGACTGCGGGGTGTATGGGAAAGCGGGAACAGGAGCATCTCCCGTGAGGCTTGCAAACGCGGTGCGGTCATGCTGGGGAGACGAGCCCGGCGTATTGCCCCAGGGAGACGCCGCGGGGTCCTCGGTCTCATGTATAGAGGCGCTGTAGTCCATGGTGACGGTCGGATTCAACAAAGGCTCGGTATAGCGGCAATATATGGGTTAATGGCGAGATGGGCAGACGACAACGAGCCTTTCCGAGCAGAGGATAAGATGCGGTGATTAGATACGGAGAGTCTCTCGGAATTGAGTGTCGCTCATGCCGCAACGCCCGATTGGAAGCTCGGCGAGGGTGGATGCGCGAAAGTTGATTCCGCCAGTGAAGCTGCTGATCCAGTTCGGCTACGTAAGTTGCGACGACATCCAAGTGGGAACAGAGGCACAGTCTGGGGAGCGGCCGCTGGTTGGCTGATTAAGCGCACGTTATCGCGTCTGATTAGCCGCCGCAGAGCTCTTATCGTGGCTAGATGCGGTATAGCGCGGGGTATGGAGAACAAAAATTCGTTATCGAAGCTCAGTTGAGATGAAACCAAAAAGACTTGCTTCGTCATTGCGGAGCGCATCCAATCCATCAATCGCAAAAGCAGTTCGGATCATCACAAGCCGGAATGGGTAAAAAGAGGTCGAGGGAGGAGGCCAAGGACGTGCCGCCCGCGGATGCAGGTGCCGACCGAATGGAAGAGGACAGCAGCGATGACGAGGTGAGAAGAGAGAAGCCGCTCTAGTCAGTGGAAGTTGGAAGCCGGGCTGACGTTGTTAGGATTTTGACATGGTCAATGTGGACTTTGAGTGGTTCAACTTTGATCCCGAGATTGATTTCCACGGCACAAAGTCATTGCTTCGGCAGCTCTTCGATGTCGACGCCAACCTCTTCAGCATGTCTGCGCTGTCGGATCTGATCCTGTCGCAGCCGACGATTGGCTCCACGGTCAAGGTTGACGGCAAGGCCAACGACGCCTATGCCATGCTCACGGTTCTCAACACATACGAGCACCGCGAAAAGGAGCCCATGAAGGATATCCTCAAGTACATCGTGGACAAGGCCCAGACCAACCCTTCAATATCGGCCGTTGCCGAGCTCATCACCGCACAAAAGCCCGTCGGCCTCGTCTTCTCGGAGCGGCTCATCAACATGCCGTCCGAGATTGCGCCGCCGCTGTATACAATGCTGGTTGAAGAAGTGGAGGATGCCATCGAAGACAAGGAGCCATACGAATTCTCTTACTATCTCATCTTTTCAAGAACGTACCACGAGGTAGAATCGACGCTGGACGTGGAGGACCGAAAACGAAAAAAGGCCAAGGAAGAGGCTTCGACCTATCACTTCCACCCCGAGGATGAGATTCTACAAAACTACGCCGTAGCGCACGGCAGCTTCCGGTACACAAAAGAGGACGATGCGGTGGCAGACAGCAAGCGGGCGTTTCAAGAGCTGGGTATCAAGACATTTGGACACATGATCCTCATTGAGGCGAGTAAATTCAAGGAGGCGGTCAAGGCTGTGAGTGATTATATAGCTGCGCCGCAATAGATGACGATATGAAACGCTCTACTCTTCTGGCAGAAGCCTCTGCATCAAGTACTCAACCTCGACCTCCTTGGTCAAGGGAATGACAAAGTCCTTGTACATGGACACCACCGCGTCCACGTTGATCTTGACGGGCTGCTCCACGCCTCCCAGCATCGACGGGTCCTTGCCGTAGGTCTCGGCCTTGAGGCGAAGACGGGCGAGGACCTGCTCCTCGACGGCCCTGTTGGTGATGGACTCGCCAATCGCCTCCCGGTCCTCGGCCTTGATGAGCTGCGTGTAGAGCTCAGGGTCCGACTGGAACTTGGACTCTGCGACAAACTTGCCAAAGTGAATTCTCCTGGACAGGGCCTGCAGACAGGCAATGTCGCACGTAGACGTCGACCCGTAGTTTTCCTGCGACTCTCCTCGGTCCTCGCGGCCAAAGTTGGGGCACACCTCCGGCAGGAACTTTTCAATGTAGAAACTTTTAATCTTGTCGTTGACGCAGACGTCGTTTTTGTGCAGGATCTTGGGGTAGTTGAGGGGCTTCAGCATGGGCTTCTGGACAGACTCTGGGAAGAAGGGGTATTCGTCGGGCGATTCGAAACGGCGGATGAGGGACTGCAGCTTTTCCTGCTGAGAAAAGTACCAGTCGAAGAAGCTCAGGCGGCTGTCGGGGATGGGGAGGGCACCGGGTGTGTAGATGGTCTAGATACATGAGGCCCGGGTCAGCAACGAAGCGGTGATTGGGCATTGTTCGGATTGGCTTCTGGTTTCTGTGACTCACCTTGTTCAGGGGAAACTGCACTCTCTCAATGAGAGAAAAGGAGATTGTATCTTCGAGTCGGCTATATGAATTGGTGTCAGAACGCATCCAAAGGGACGGATCAGGGGATTGGGAGCTGAAGCTCTGCATAGCGCGGGCCAACTGACATGAGCTGGAAGCGGATGCGCGCCAGATCCAGCGCTCGAGAGCTGTCGGCCATGTCCACGGCGGAATCCATCTTGAAGAGAGGCAATTAACGGGAATATCGTTGAATTTAAATACGTTGGAGAGGCAGGATATAGTGCAAATGTCAGCGAAGATTGAATTGAACCCAAGAATAAGCTGACGGGCAAATCAAGCTTTCAGCGGCGTGCCGATGATTGATGAAGTCAAGCTGGGAACGGAATTGATCCGCTGCCCGAGACCGGCCCTGTTGGAGACTTGGGCTCCAGCGAGCCCCATCTTTAGCGGCCGGTTCAGCTTACCAAAGGGCGGCTCAGATCTCAATCCATCTGATTGATCCTTGCGAGATGGCGCGGGCTTGAGAGCCTTTTCACGTGCCGAGTATGTAAGAAGCGAGGCGCTGGCTGCAATTGGGAATGCATCGTGTCGCCAAAAGCAGCAAACGCTGCCCGCCTTGGCATTGTTGCACGGCATTGGGATTTGCTGCCCTGGACTTGTTTGTGTTGGTGCCAAATAGTCGCGGACGGAATTGAGAAGAGACGGGTTTAACACTTGATGCCATAACTACCAAACCCAAACATGTGACAAGACTACTACTAATACAGTACACTGAGATGCTGGTTTTGTTAGTATACATACAATCACCAAAGCTGCCAAATCCTCCATATCAAAACATCCATCAGAACATATGTACTTCTAGGGTCCCCTGACGATCGAATCTCAAGCCAACCCTGCCCTTGAACCCCGGAAAGCCCCCAGTGGGGGCATCGAGCGAACCGCACAGGCAAAAGATTCAAGTGCAGAAGCGACTGGAACTAGCAGAGACAAGCCGAAACGCCGTGCAAACAGCAGCTCGAACTAGCCGGTTTCTCGTTTGATTGTTTATGCGTCGGTTTTACGGATGCAACCCAGCTAATCAATTTCGATGCTACTTTTGGCTGCTACTATAGATACCTATCAGCAGTACTTGAGGATAGCTGCTGGTGCGAGGTGTATTAGTACTTGTCCAATCGATAGTAGAATACAAGATAGTTAAGATATTAGCACCCGCACAAATCACTTGCATCGATGCATCGGCACAAGTTGGTGCCAATTCCATCGGATCAAATGGTTTACACACAAAGGGCAGCTGGAACAGCTAGAGGGGTGGGTGGTACAAACTGATCCAAACAAAGCCGAGCCAGTAGCAGCGGTTTAGCAGCGGTTTATAGCAGGCCCAGCATGTACCTGTACCTACTACAGGTACCTACTATAACTCAATAGCCGGCTGGTGCCGCATTTTTCTGCGCGCGTCATCCAAATTTCACACCCGCAAGCCATGCCCGGTTTTGGTTTTGCGATGCAAACCCTCCAACTCTTGCTCTTCCCTTGACCAACGCAACTTCGCCCTTTGCCTTGCGCTGCCTCGAGCTCGAATCCAGAGCCTGCAGCGGGCCAGCCGTTGAGTAATGACTGACTCGGAGAGCCATTATGCCTTCGACGATGGCCCCGATGACGAGCAGTCCATCATCTCTGTATGTCGCAAACCGGCAAGAGGAACAAGAGAGAAAAAAAAAAGAAAAAAAAAACTCTGCCCGCCGCAACATCCCATGCCATACCATGCCATTGCGTTGAGACGTCCTTTTTATTTTGCAATTTGCCCATGGAGCGCAGCCTGCTAACCATGTCGTGTCTCTTCTCTGCCCGCAGACTCGAGGACTCGAAGCCTTCAGCCGCAAAGTCACTGTCACGGCAAGCCAGCTCATGGGCCCGGCCGCAGAGGCATCGGGAGCCCATTATCGCGCCGCCCTCGCCGAAGTTCACAAGCAGATGAAGCGTCCCAGCGTCCAGCGCGGCATGTTCTCCATGGCCCGGTCCAGCCCTACCGAGATTGTGCGGTCCAAGCTGTCCACGGCCGAGATCCAGCACCGCGCCCTCACCCACCTGCCCGACGAGCTGCTGTCCAACATCCCCGAGCACCAGAACGCCTATTCGCTGTTCCAGGGCTTCCAGGCCAGCTTCCCCGAGCTGGCCGACGACAGGAAGAAGCACCGCCGACAGCCGTCGAGGGGCAGGAAGCTGCTGGAGGAGGGGGAGAACACACCCGCAACGCCGACCAAGTTGAATCAGCTCAAGAAGGAAAAGACGACCATGGTGCACGAGCTGGAACTACTGGGGGTGCGCAAGAGCATGGTCAGCTGTGAGATCCGCGAAATAGACAACAAGATTGCCAATCTCTACGGCATGCGTAGGATTGTGCTGGAGAGGTTGGCGGGCTTTGAGCAGGACGAGGCGACACTCGAGCATGATGGTAGGTGTTTGAACCCACGCCCCAGTAGAATGCCTTTCGTTTTCCCCTTGCCATTCTCTGTTATCAAGTTCTTCGTCTAATCAATGCCTCTCTTTGGTTGCCCCCTGGTGTAGTCATGGATCTCGAATTGAAAATCGACGAAGTCCAAGCCATCGTCGACGAGGCCGAGGAGATTGCACGCAACACTGCCACCAAGGACGAGCGAGATCTGGTGGGAGATGCCGACGACTACGACCCCGAATTCATGTCCAAGTCCGTCTATGAGAAGCTGCCCGCCACCGACGGCAAGCAGCGCAAGCCGAAAAAGGTCCATCGCCGGAAATCCATGCCCATTCTGCACGAGCACTTTGCCCCGGGATCAAGCATCCGCGAAATCCGGGCCCATCGCGATACTATCACGGCCATGGATTTTGATGCGCCGTTTGGAACTCTGGTCACTGCCGCACTGGACGATACTGTCCGGGTTTGGGATCTGAACGCCGGTCGATGCATGGGCTACCTAGAGGGCCACACGGCCTCGGTCCGAGCATTGCAGGTCGAGGATAACATTCTAGCTACCGGTTCCATGGACGCCACCATCAGATTGTGGGATTTGAGCAAAACACGCTACAACCCTCAAGGTGGCAAGGACGCCGGCGACGACGACGAGGACGCCATTGCTTTTGAACACCCCGATGCGCAGCCCATCGAGCCTCCCGAGGGCAGCATGGACGACTGCGCTCTCTTTACGCTATCATCCCACGTCGACGAAATCACCGCACTTCACTTCAGAGGAGACGTCTTGGTTTCCGGCTCAGCGGACAAGACGATCCGGCATTGGGACTTGGAAAAGGGCCGCTGCGTTCAGACGCTCGACGTCATGTGGGCGGCCGCTCAGGCATCGGCCATTGCAACGACTGACGATACCTGGAGGCCGACCGGCCGAGCCCAGGGAACCACGGCTGACTTTGTTGGTGCCTTGCAAGTGTTTGAGTCCGCGCTGGCGTGCGGTACCGCCGACGGCATGGTCCGTTTGTGGGATCTCCGAAGCGGCCAAGTCCACCGCAGCCTGGTGGGCCACACCGGCGCCGTGACATGTCTGCAGTTTGACGACGTACATCTAGTGACGGGCAGTTTGGACCGAAGCATCAGAGTAAGCCTACCCATGCCATTCTGTTTCATCGTAATAGTGTTGGCTAACAAACCTGCCCTTTACAGATATGGGATCTCCGAACAGGGTCCATCTACGACGCTTACGCCTACGACAACCCCGTCACCAGCATGATGTTTGATGCGCGACGGATTGTCAGCGCGGCCAGCGAGGACGTGGTCAAGGTGTACGATAAGGTCGAGGGACGGCAATGGGACTGCGGAGCGGGCATCGCCGCGTCCGAGGGCGCCAAGAATGCCGCCGTCGTCGAGCGTGTACGTATTAGAGACGGCTACCTGGTAGAGGGTAGGCGGGACGGCATTGTGGGAGTATGGACTTGTTAGAATAAGTGCTGAAGTAGGCGCGGCTCAAGCGATGTAAACGAAAAATATTCGATTGTCTTGTACGTTAGGGAGAAGTTTGGTTTGGGTTGTTTGGGGGGACGGGTTTTTGTGAGGGATGAAAATATTATGCTGACGAATCTAAAGGTTTGAGAGTGAGAGATGAGTTGAGAGTGAATGTGAGGTAACGATTGAAATAACGCTGTTGAATTGAAGAAACTCAAACGGTGACAATGATTGAATCGCTATTATATATACTTATATAGATAATATTGATGTATTGTTTGGTTAATCAATGAGTGAGTAAACGTGGTGATCATAGGCTGATACTTGGTAGGGTACCCTGCAGTGAGTGAGGCGGGAACATGGCCAGTCTAAGGACTTGACCACATCAACTTTTTTTTCTCCCCCTTCCATACCATCAACAGGAGTCATTCACCGGTTGCACCCCCCCCAGTAAAATGTCAAATTAATATTATCTTCTCTTCTTATTAATCCATCGCCGCATCATGTCCTCCCTACGCGACCAAGTTCTATCGCAACATCGCAATGCTGCAGGCACAATCGCAACATGTCAATATGCATCATCCGATTCCCAACCCATACCTCCCGAGCCATCACACCCAACAGCCACAGATCTAAAAGCCCTCGCAATGCAGCAATTACTACAGCGCCAGGCCCGGCTCCTCATCAAACTCCACGAATCCCTGCCCCGGAACACAGACGCCGGCGTAGACGAAGATTTGCTGCAGACGAGGCTGGACGACCTCGCCTCGGTGTGCATGACGGCGTTTTATGCGTATCGGTTTGATTTGTTGCCGTATTATTGGCGGTGGATATACACGGACACGCTGATTCTCGTGTCGTACCACGCTATAGTAAAGGCTGCGCGAGAGGATTCGTTTGACGAGGATGTCATGGATCGCGTGGTGGAGAGTCTGGACAGGGCACTTGTGGTAGCTGGCGGCGCGGGGAAACTCATAGGGAAACAATGGATTGAAAAGACGTTGGAATTACTGTGTCGTTTTTGGGAAGAAGGAGAAGGAGAAACGCACACCTCCGAGGGGGAAGCTCAACGGCCGCGGAAGCGCATCAAAAGGGACACAACATTCTCTACCGACGAACCATTCGGCAGACCGAATCTCTCCGCTGAAAGGACGTGTCCGCGATACGAAAACTGGACGCTGGGGATGTTTGACAAGTACATGAACGAGGGCAACCCGCTGCCCGTCGTCTTCACCGACCTGACGAAGGAATGGCCCGCGTTTTCAGATATGCCGTGGAACAGCCCCGAGTATCTCCTCTCGAGGACGTTTGGCGGGAGGAGGCTCGTCCCCGTCGAAGTCGGACGGAGTTACGTCGACCAAGGCTGGAGCCAGGAACTCGTCCAGTTCAAGCACTTTCTCGCAAAATACATTGACCCGAGCATCACCACCACAACATCGACACACCCAAATGAGAGGCTTCAGCCCGATAAAATAGGCTACCTCGCCCAGCACAACCTCTTCCAGCAAATCCCCGCCCTGCGCAACGACATCCGCGTCCCCGACTTCTGCTGGGCCGACGTCCCTCCCCATCCCACCGACCCTGCCAAGAACCAGACGCCCGTGCATGTCCCCCAGTTGAACGCGTGGTTCGGCCCCGCCAAGACCATCACGCCGCTTCATACGGATGGGTATCATAATTTGCTGTGCCAGGTTGTCGGGACGAAATATGTGAGGCTGTATGCGCCTGAGGAGACGGGACGGTTGCGGCCGAGAGGGATGGAGCATGGTGTTGATATGAGCAATACGAGTGAGCTAGATGTTGGCGTCTTGGAGGGCTGGGATGAGGACGGTGATGACGGTGGGAATGACTGGGAGAGTATTCGAAAGCAGTTCAAGGACGTTCCGTATTGGGAGACTGTGCTTAATCCGGGGGATACGCTGGTGATTCCCATCGGGTGGTGGCATTACGTCCGGAGTTTGAGCATCAGCTTCAGCGTCAGTTTTTGGTGGAATTAAATCAAGCATTCAAATCAAATCACCGTCATGAGAACATTCGGGGGATGACGCCTTGTTATATTTTAGAGCAAATCTACGCCGGAAAAAACGCTTCTTTGCCCTACACCAACCACAACCATCAAAAGCACAAGTAGAGACAGACAAAAGTAGCCAAATGGCTTAACATCGGGGAGCAAACCCCTTCGAAAAGAAGGCAATCAGCAAGCACATCAAAATCACACCTGAGACGAGCGTGCGTCTTCAATGCTCTCGGCCGTCACTTGCGCCTCCCTCCTCGCCTTGGCACCAGCCTTCAAAGTCTCCCACTTCTCACGGTACTTTTCAAGCGTCTTTTGCATCTTACGGTTGTCCTTTTCCAGTCGTTCCATGTGCTTCGTCATCTCGGCAAGTTGTTCTTCCAGTTCGGTATTCTTGCGTATCAGGTCGTCGTCATTCGCTCTCCCGCTTCCCCCAGGGAGCGGCGACCCGCCAGGCATGATTCGATAACTTTCAGCGAGAGCGAGAGCAGAACTCTGAGCGCTGGCTTCAAAAGTATGGAGGCGTTTCGACAGTTTGTCAAGCATATCCTTCAGCGACTTGTTTTCCAGACTGAGTTCCTCGATGGTGTTGTACAGTTCCTTTTCCGAATGGCTACGCGTGATCCGTCGTCGGGCGCTTACAGAGGAACCAGGGGCTTCACGGGCATCAACAAAGTCATCGTCGTCTTCATCCTGAGGCAAGAAGTCGCCATGGGTCGAGGCTTCCAGCCGGCGCTTTTCCTTTTCAGCATAGCTGAGGATGTTGGCATAAGACATGGTGTGACCGGTAGAGGGGACAACGTAGAAAGAGTCAGCAGCAGTGTGGCCATCTCGGACGAGGGCGCGCATGGTGGCCTTTGAGTAGATGTTGGACAGATCAGGGTCGGCGCTGGGGGACGGGGAGGCACGAGCACGGGGCTGCTTGGGGGGAGACAGGGTGACACTGGACGAGGGCATGGCAGATTCAGTAGGGGTGGCGGGCTCTTCCTGGATGAGCGGCAGACCGGCGAAAGCAAGAGGGGCAGAAATCTTGTTGATCAGGCTCCCAAAGGTGTTGTAGAAGCGGGCGTAGCCACCGTCGTCCCTGGGAGGACCCTGCTCGACCTTGGGGGACGCGCCGCCGTTTGCCGCTGCCTCTTGCTGCTTGGACACGGGAGCGATGGGCGGGACCCAGGTCGGGCGACCGGTCTGGCGTTCCATAATGTTCTGCATCTTGGCCTTGGAGGCATCGCGTTTGGCCTGGGGATCGACATTGCCGGGGGCCTGATCGTTGGACACGCTGGGGCTGAGCGGCTGGCTGCGATCCTTGGAGCGGATGCCCCTCGCCGACGCAAGGTTGCTGGCAATGGACGACGACATTTCGCGAGGCATGTAGCGGCGCTGGGACAGGCCGGGCGGCTGGGCCTTTGTGACTGCGGCCTGGAGAGCGTCGCTCGCATCGGCGCCGAGGCCGAGGCCATCGCCGTCCTTCTCCGACGCCGTCTTCTCGCCGTCGTCGCGCGCATGCGGCACTTGCTCCGGGGGCAGCTTGAGGATCTCGGCCAGCTTCCTATGGTGCTCCTCCAGCAGCTTGAGCGTCCGGAGGGCCTCGACGCTCGACGTCAGGTTGGCGGCGTTGGCAAACTCGCCCGCGGCCAGAGTGTGTTCGCTGATGGCCACGGTGGTGTCCGAGGATTGGCGAGTGGCCACGGCAGCGGCTCGCGCGTGGTCGTGCGCTTTGGTGAGCGGCGAAGATTCCATATCGACGATGTTGTTGTTGTTGCAGACGCGCTGACACGTCTATTCAGGTTGTAAAGAATTTGCTCCCCTTGCGGGAGAGGCGTCGTGGTTGAGCTGAGCTGAGCAAGCTTTCAGCTTCGGCTTGCGGGTTCGAGGTTGAGGTTGTCAAATGCATGTACTTACTTGCAGCTGAACTCTGGTGGTAGGACTGTGTGCGCATAAAGTGCGCGTGATTTGTGCGGGCACTTTCGGCGTCCCACTTATGACGGCATGCCGAAGGACGGGAGATACGCGGGAAAGACGGTGGATGGCCGCAAGCCGCCCGCGGTGGAGGAGGTATTTGGAGGTACTGCGCGATTTGGCAGCCTAGAGCTGAACCAAAATTAGTAGGCGGAAGCGGCCACTAGGCTGTCACCGAGAGGCTAAGCATCTGATAACCTGAAACATATAGATGGTGTAAGCTGTAGAATTGAAGAGCTTTGACGGATATACAAGGAGCACAGACTTACACAAACCAAGGGATGGATATTGCAAGATAAACGAACAAAGAATGGCGGGTATCTAAAAGAACTGCATGAAACAGAGTATGCAAGGGACATCTATTGCTAATGGAGCCGGAAAGACGCAAAGCTATATCGCAAGATGAGCAAATAACACAAGGCTCTAGCTCAAATGGCAGTGCTTCGCGGCCAATATCATAGTTCTGCCTCAATAAGATAGATTAAACCACCAACTCCCCGCAATCCGAGTCGCTCTTGGAAATAGGTAGTAGTCAGCGCGTTTCCTCCGTTTCCTCTCCACCTATCTGCATGGAACGCAAAAATCTTGTTCGAAAAACGACAGAAAGATTTGTGGAGCAAAATCTGTGAAATTTTTAGATTTCTATGGAGTAGAATCATCGAAAAAATTACACAAGGATTTGTGGGGAAGTAAGAAAACAACACAAAAATCATAGACAAACTACACAAAGATTCGTGGAGAATTGAGTCGAACGACACCTCAAATCGACGCGGCGCGTGTAAGTCGATTGAGTATGAATAGAGCTCATCTCCCTACTTTGATCACAGTATAATCCAGCCATTCACTCCATGCAATCACTACAAGACTCAGCCACATCTTGTGACAATCAAGCATTATTCATCCATCCTCTTTAGATCATCCCACCTTACAAGTCCTTAATTAAATACTTATCCTCTACTAGAATATCAATGTCATTCCGGTTGATAATTCGCCATCTGTCACCTAATCTACTTTTTAATCTACAATTCAAGCGTTTCGCCAATAGAGAGCTATGAGTAGAGGGCAACAGTCAAGGATATGGGAAAGCGACAGACATTGGAAGACGTCTCAGTATAAGACTAGACGTTGGGGATGCAAGAAAGGTGATGTTTGTCGTCGACGCGTTTAAAGAAAAGGGTACACGGTACCAGGCTACAGGCGGAGCGTTTGAGCATTTTGATTCGCATAAATCACAGAACAAACCTGGGGGATATCGGGATCCTTGAATAGACATTACATCCATTAACATGGGTTAACATAGATACAAGTAGGTAGAAATAGGTAGATATAGATAGAAGTATATAGAAAGAAATATGACAACTATGTAGAATGTATTATAGAATAAGCCACAGCTCTTGATTTCCGGTTTCCATCAAGCATCTGGTACACTGCTTTCTGAACCCCAGCATTTTGGTCTAAATCCGCCCTCCTATTATCAAGATACTCCATCCATTCCTTCAATTGAGGCCTTGCACCATTTTCCTCTTCGCAAACCCGGATTAACTCATGAGGGTTCGAAAAAGCCCAGTTCTTTGTGAGTGTTTCGGGAAATCCGATCTTCTGAAGCACATACAGCATTGTGACGCCCATGGCCCAGATGTCACCTGGCAAGCCGCGGCCTTTATTCTCCATATATTCGGGAGGGAGATAGCAAGCTGTTCCGCCGTTCGACTCTTCGTCTATATAACAAGCACAGCCGAAATCGAAAAGCACAGCGCCGCGCTCAGAACTGTAGGCAATGTTACCTGGTTTGATGTCATTGTGGACTATTCTCATACTTGATAAATAAGCAAGTGCGGATGTCATATCGACTAGGATCTTATGAGCATCGGAACTCGAAAAGGGCGAGTGATATCCGCGGTCAAGAGATAACGGGAGAACTTCTAAATAGAGTGCAAAAATACGGCCATCGAAGGCCTCCAGCGACACAATATTTCTCTAAAAGGAATTAGACGGAAAGCTTTCAATCTCGTGTTTATACGATGGATGTACTTACGTGTTTTATATTTCCAAGTAGTTGTTTCTCTGCCTTCCACCGGCCAACGATATCTGGAAGATCCAGGGCGGACACACCAGTGTACCCAAGGACTTTAACGACTAGTGGTTTCTTAGGTATTCCAGAATGTCGGCAGGAAAATACAGATGCATTTGTCGTACGGCCTAGTGGACCTAGTTGCACGAAGCGTTGAAGTTGATATGTCCCAGAACCGTCATCATACTGAGTTTCGATGGCAGCCGTCTCCCGATCCTTCAGATCCAGAAGTGGGACGGCCCCTTTGTGAATAATTTCTCGGGAAGATGCCGTACATTCTGGTTCTATCTGTAGGCCATCAGCAGTTCGCTTTGCTGGCGATATGTTTGGTTCGAAAATGGAGACATTGAATAATCTCTCGTTTAAAAAAAAATCGAAAATATCATGAATATCTAATTCCGGGTGTGCTGCAACCCTCCAGAATCCGGGCCGGATCGATCGTCTTTCTGTCTTCCCGACAACAATTGGGGCGTAAGAGGAACCTAATTTGAATAGTCGTACGCCTATGGATGATTGATTGACAAAAAGACAGTCATCGATCCCAGGATCATAGATTATCTGGAATTGTAGGTCGAGCGTAGGAAATTTGATAGTCAAGTCTACGTCGTGAGTTGTCTGGGAAACAGCGGAGATCTCTCTCCCACGGGCCAGCTCTGTGACAGGAGGAATAAGTGATTCATTCAGAATGCCATGGTCATGGTAGGAATATATGAGAATTCGAGCATTTCCTGCAGTTAGTGACGAATTTGTTAGAAGGGTGGTGACCTCTCCGATTGGGACGTAGGATCTCTGAGCGACTGCCATATTCGCATCCACTTCAGGTAGAAGAGACATGATGCCAAGATGCAATTCTTTACCACGCCACCTCGGTAGGGGATTCTCGTCGAGATGTGCATGTTATATTTGATAGCTAAAAGGCAGGACGACAAGACATCTTTGAGGCAATATATATGTAAATTTATGTACATTAGGCGTCTGTATGAACAGGCACCGACCATGGAGTTGAGTTGCGAGTGTTCACAAGGCGCCTAGTCTCAGTCTACCCGGTCGATACCCGGCTCTGTAGATTGAACAAAGAAAGATGGATTCTTTGACGTTTTTAGTCAGGTGAGGCCTCCATCCCATACATCTCTTTGAAGGTCTAAAGGTACATTGTTTGTGTGATCTCGCTGTCATTAGACCAATCAACGACGTAAGGCAATCGAAGATTCTTAATACCTGCATGGATGATTCTCACAGACCTCCGCTGGTACTCTGAGCTACTTCAAATCTAACAGGTGTGCGGACTGAGATAGTGAGTTGAAGCACTGGAGATGTTATGGCTCAAGTTTGGACCGGTACTGTTATGTGAACAAAGAAAACGTTGATCTTCAAAGAGATTGTCGCTGTGGTACACATCAAGCCAAATGACAGAGTTGGCGGCTGGCCCTCGGGGCATTACTATGGCGTCCAAAGTATTGGTTATCCTCCACCGATGCCTGGTCTTCTGCAAGGGCCTGCATCACATCAAGCCGATACCGGCAGGATAAATGAAGAAAGATGTCACCTGATGCAACGAGGCTTCAAAGGAACCCCCTCACAACAGGTTACTCAAGTGCGCCTATTTGCAGGTCGAGTTAACATGAGTGGATGAGCGGGCACTGAAGCATCGAACAAAGAGATTGAACGTGTCACGAGAGCTGGAATCTCGATTCCGGGCGCTAAAACGAGGGGGATTAAGCGCCGTAGTAAAGAGTTTGGGACCAGCCGGAGCCTATATAAAGAATTGAGACGTCTACGGATAGCTTCACTTAAACGCCCAGCAATTGAACTCATATCCACACGCTCAAACCGATCGAGACGACAATAATAGCAACGGCAAATCGACCAATAGACTCGGCACTTAACAAAATGACGCTATTCAAAGCTCCAGACGTGACTATGCGAAAAACTCGAAACGATGCTTGGCTCAAGAAAGTCGGCGGCAAGCGTCTTGGTGGTCCTCGACAGCTCTGGGGGGACTACTGGCGTCGATTCAACACCATGCAAATCCCGATCCTGGGCGAAGATGAATACTTCAAGACTGCAACAGAAATAGCAGAAGTTGCTGCCAATGAAGAGGAGTTTGAAAATCTCTTCATGAAAAGGAACCAACAGCGGCAGGAAGAGCTATTGGATTTGACTGCCGACATCACCAGAGCTATTGCTTGGGATAAATGTCAATTTCCATGCTCGGCCGCTAAAGGTGCAGCTCGCAAAGCCGGCACAACGGGCTGTTTTGAGTACTTTGTGTCTCTCTTACGAGGCAACGTTCTCGGTTGGGAGGCGGACGAAGCAGGAGATGATGTGCCGAATAACGCTATAGCTGACTCTGGAGAAGAGCCGAAAAAGCCAGATGACAAAGAGACGCAAAAGCCCTATGGCAAAGAGGTGCAAAGCTTTGGCGACTACATTTATAAAGACTACATGTATAGAGGTCGTATGGGCCATTGGGGTTCTCCTTCGCCTTATTCCTCCATGGGTAGAACACAGCGTTGGGGCGACATTGATCATTTCTACGCAGGAGAAGATCTTGACGCTTATGCCAAGTCAAGAAGAGGGTTAAGGCAAGAGCAAGGATACAGAGAGCAAAGAGCAACAGACATACAGTAGGTACCGCCCTCCCTGATTGTTTCACTCATCGAATAGAAGCTCAAACCTGATTAGGGAGATTAATTCATCCGACAAGGAAGACATGAACCATCACGAAAATGATCGTTGGCTATTGAATAGCCCTTATAATAACGCCTCAGCATCTCACAGCTTCTTTCCTGCTCATGGGATTGCCAATGGAGCTGCGGCTGTGGAGAAATCCAGGCCCGCCAACGATAGCCTTATCCGCAAGCATCGGAGATCAGAAAGCCCAGCAACTGCAGCATCGCCAAACGCCTCTTCTATAAAGCAGACTACTCCTGGGGGCTCGAAGAAGGGGGTAAGATTCCAGGACGATGATGACGATGATGATGATGAACGTGAACATAAACGCCAGCGAACGCAAAGCCCAGTACCCACACTACATGTACCAAGCGACACTCCCTCAGCACTGGGTGCCGCTGAAAGCTCGATGAAGAGACGCAGGTCTGACAGCGATGAGGATGACGATGAGGATGACGTTGATCGCGGACGCAAGCGCCAGAGAAGACAAAGCCCGGCCCCTGCTATGCCTCCTGCCAGCTCTTCTGTACAACAGTCTGCTGTTGCGAACCCCGAAAAGCGATCCGGAATCAGCGACGGCGATGATGACGACGAAGATGATCAGGACGAAGATGGCCAGAGACGGAAGCGGCAGAAGATGTAAAAACACGGCAGCCGATCCGTCTCCTCCCGTCTCCTCTTCGAAACAGAAAGCCGAAACAAACGTGAGCAAGAAGAGACGCAGAGTCAATGGTGGGTGCAAGTCTCGAGAGTGGTATTCAGCTTCAGGCACCCTGGATACCACTTCCATACAGCCACTGCGGAGGTCTATACGAAGAAGAAACGACAAGTCTAGGCTCCAAGCACTCGATTGTTCTGGCAAACCGCGGCCAATTTGATGGAGGCTGGCATGGGCTGAATGATTAGAGCGCCGAGGTAACAAGGACTGGAATTGGAGGCTGCGGAGCGTTTCCGAGAACATGGTCGCTATCCTGACAGGGTCGGGTGCAGCGGCGTAGTTTTTCTGAGTAACTAACAGAGTTGATGAGTTTTGTGAGAGCATGGTCGTCATCCTGGCAGGGCTGGGTGCAGCGGCGTAGTTCAAACACCTCAACGTAACCACAAAGTTCTGTCAGAGCATGGTCGTTATCCCGGCAGGGCTGGGTGCAGCGGCGTAGCTTGCGTGCAGTAACTAACGTAGTTGACAAGTACCGGAAGCTCAGCAGTCCTTAGTTTTGGTTGAGTATCTCCAGCCCAATCATGAGATGGATACCCGGCGGTGTTTTGTTCTTTCGTTTATTTGTTTCCCTTTCCTAGGTAGTCTAGATGTTGTGAGATACTTGGGTACAGAGATGACATTAATATACAGATGTTGTTGCAAACAGCGGTTGATCTGTAAGTCCTCTGCTGCATTACATACAAGTTTATAAGCAAAGAATGCTCTTAAATATGAGTTTGTTTTGGAAGCAATAGAAAGGTGTAAGACCAGCTGTAAGAGCTGATTGTATTGGTGCAGGGTATGTATGTATGCGGACAGGCAGTTGTTGGTTGGTGATTCATCATTGCTTCAGTCAGAGCGACAGCACTCTTCAAGCTTTCGAGTGGAAACATGACATGTCAATGTTTGAATTGAATGTATGAAGAGCAATAAACGGAGGTGAGAAAGAGGGAGACTGCGAAATAAATAAATACATACATTCAGCAATATAAGCGGGCTCTCAATCAGCTCAATAAGTATAGTAGTGCCTTGTAGGAGAACGCCTGTGCATCCATTCCCCAATTTTGACTACTATATGACTGTAAGGTACCTACTAGGGTAGTAGCAGTTACTGGAGAAATGTAGATATAATGGCAGCTTAGTACTGAAGAAATATATATATAATAGTGGAAGTTGCTTAAAGAACAGGCGTATATTCAACGCGTGGGTATTCGTAATCTTCCTGGTCCCCGTTTCCCTGTCCTCCGCTCGGGTGCTTGTCTAAAGGCGATTTGTGCCGTAAAACTAAAGATTTTGACTTTCAGCGTGCAAGCTGAAAGCGGGCGAAAGCGGCGATTTGATCTGCAAAGAGCGGGCGGGTGTGTCTTGTAAGTTTGGGGTACCTGCAGCGTGCTTTTGACGTTCCATGGACTCTGCTCGTGTGCCACAGCATCAATTGGCAAATACGTACCTACATTTATCAGGGATCAAGCAAAGATCCAAATAGGAAGCAATTGCACGCTGCGGACAAGGATTTACATAGTCGAACTACACATGTGTCGGCGGGTTTCGGGTTTCTGCATCTTCCGACACGGCGCTGAAACATACGTGGACTGTTCCGTATCCGTCCTCCACATAGGTACTAATGTACTCTATACTCTATACTCGTACAGACGCACGACAGATTGGTCGGTCCATGGTAACCTAGCGGGCTTCTTTTAGTTTGCAAAGGGCTTCCAAGGTTCTTCGACGACTCCGTCATGTTGGCACTAGGAAGCACAACAACCCCCACCTCGAATTCTCCTCTCCAGGGGGGCCTCGTCACATTAATCTCGACAAGCTTCCCTGTCCTGTTTCGTCATTAGCCCCAGACGGACCATTTCTTGCATCTTCTGGACTCGACTCGACTCGACTCGACTCCGTATCCTGTCCTGTCCTGTCCTGTCCTCGGGCCCCGATCAAGCGTCCCGTGCAAATTGCGCAGAGCCGGAACGGGGCTGTGATAAGTTTAGTTCCTGATCCTGATTTCAGGAGTCTGTCCTGTCGGTACGGCGGGCGGTGCTATTTATATAATCTTCATATCATGCTGGAAACGGTCGCGCGACTACGACGACGACGACGTTCCGAGAGCTGTGATAGTTATAAAAAAAAAAGAAGCCCGCTGCAAGATACGGGAGCGGGGATTTTCCTCTACCGCTTATTACCAGAACAGTTATTCAACACCGTTTCACCATAGTATTCGCACTTTTTTCTTCCTTTTCTTCTCCATTTGCAACAAACTTCAATTCTCCGTCGACATCTGGATCAGCCGGCTCTGATCCGCCTTGTCCGTGTCTCACTCGGCCCAGCTATACTGTAGCGTCTTGCGGCCAGGCGATAAAAGAGGATGGACAACACCAGCACCAGCACCAGCACCAGCAACACCGGAGGAGGCCTGGGCAAGCTTCTGGCCAAACGCAGGCGAAGGGTCAAGACGGGAGGCCTGGACTCGGATGCCTCAGGGCGGGAGGATGGCCGCGACTTTGCGCGGGACAGTGACGATGCGGCGTCGCTCAACGTTGGCGATGACGATGAGATGGACAGCCGCAGCTTCGGGTCCTACGAGTCGGGGGGCGCCGATGCGGACGGAGAGTCTGAGCGGTGAGTCCGTGTTATTATTGTCGTCTTTTTCTTCTTGTGAACATCATTCACCACGCATCTTGCATGCATCATCGCCTTCATCTTCCGTCTTGTCGTTGCTCAAGTGGCCAAAGATGACAGGTAGCGCAAGTTACAGGCCTCGCAGCCTTGCATGAAGCTCCACGGGCCAATCTGCAGTTAATTTCACCTCCCTCTCCTTCTCCCTCTCCTTCTCCCGTCCGCGCTCAGACGCAGACGCAGACGCAGACGCACGCTCCTTCAAAGCGCCACACACGGCCCAGCTTTTTCTTCTTTTCTTCTTCTTTTCTTCATCTGCGCCATTTGATTCATCTTGTTTGTTAATTCGTCGTCGCTCGTTTAACTACATTCGTTTTTCTACTCCTTCTACGTTTTCCTTCTCGCCCAATCACACGCTTCTCTCCCTCCCTTTGCTCGTATTCGCACTTCCCGTGTCCTCATTCGCCTCTGTCCACGTATGCCGTCAACCCACCCTCCATATCCATATCCATATCCATATCAATATCCATACTTGTGCGTTGCATTGCAACCTCAGATCTAACGCCGAATCAGAAGCAGCTCTCGCCCCCCACTGGCTCGTGCGACCACGACATCAGTTCTGGCATCTCCCGTCGTGCAGGTCACCGACTTGGACCCTCGCGGCGAACGAGAACGACGACCGTCTCTTCTCTCTCGGCGCCTCCGCCGTGGATCCTCCAGGAGCACGTCTCCGAATGCGTCCAAGGAGGCTCTAAGCGAGATAGCGCAGCTCCCCGAACCACCAGCCGCCGCGAGGACAACAGCCTCCCCTGAGAAGCACCCGATACTCTCGCCCTCGAGGCTCACGACTTCGGCTCGACCGTCCACCAGCAGCGACAATTACCGCCCCGTCATTGTAAACACGCCGCCCACGCCCGTCGAGAGAACAAACCCCCTCGCTCTACACTTGGACAAGAAACTACCGCCCGTCATTTCAGAGCCCGCATCAGCTGGGGATGCAACGTCCTTTTCCTCTTCCTCTTCTTCCCAGGGTATAAGCGCGCATCGAAGAACCAAGTCGGGATCTGCCAGCATCGGGCCCAGCAAACTATCCAACATCACAACTGCTCCGCTCTCACCCACCCCTGAGATCGGCGAAGTCCAACCCCCGAACTCCGCGGGTTTCTTCTCGTCCATGTTCTCGGTTGCCCAGAACGCTGCCAGCACGATTAGTAGCAACATTCAGGGCGGTGGCATTGGCATTGGAGGAAACAAGAGTCGGACGAATCAGGCGTCTAAGCCACAGTCACCCCCTGCCACAAGCCAAGCAGAAGGCGACCGTGCAGAACCCCCACCATCCGAGGCTCACTCAAGCTCCGGAATGGATAAAAAGGAGCCGGCAGCTAAGACGATTGGTACCGGAGAACTTAGTTTGAGCCAACTTGGTATTATGGAACCGTCAGCAGCCATGCCCGCCCTCGAAACGTCTCGATTTCCCGATCTCAACGACACGCGGGCGCGGTCCGAGTCTGCTCCAGCAGCAGAAAGCCAACCTCGACTCGGAGATGACATTGTCCTCGACGAGTCCCCCAGCAGGCCCAGGTCGCTATTTGAAGCGGCCAATGGCGAGGAGGGCGGCTCGCAGTCTGATCAGGCCGATGGGAAGGATGAGAAGAGCGACTCGCAAAGGAAACGGGGAAGCTCGACAGCCACCACAAACACGGTCGCGCCGCCGGCGCCAGCTGGCCCAGCTCCAAAGCTCACGGGATTCGCCATTGCTAGTAAAAAGAGGAACCGCGACTTCCACACATTCTTCAAGAGTGTACCGGATGATGACTACCTTATCGAGGACTATAGCTGTGCGTTGCAGAGAGAGATTCTCGCGCACGGTCGGTTATACGTCTCAGAAGGCCATCTTTGCTTTAGCAGCAACATTCTCGGGTGGACAACGACATTGGTCATGAGCTTTGACGAGATTGTATCCGTCGAGAAGAGAAGCACTGCGCTCGTCTTCAAAAACGGACTCATGATATCAACTCTCCATGCCAAACACATATTTGCCAGCTTCACTAGTAGAGATGCTACATACGACTTGATTGTCAACATCTGGAAGCTTGGCCACCCCACGTTGACTAGCACTCTCAACGGAGTTCGTCTAGAGGGCACCGGCGGTGACAAGACCGAAAAGCTTGACGTCGAGGCCGGGGGCCTGGAACCAGAGACGCCAGCCGGATCTGACTCTGAAGGGGACAGCGATGATGACGACGATGAAGATTTCTACGAGGAGGACAGCGACCGAGCCCCCGAGCCTCAGGCAGCAGACGCCAGCAGCAACGGCGCAGACAGCGGCAAGCCAAATAGGAAAGCATCCGGCGCTGTCGCTCCCAGCGCAGCTGTGATTGATGGGGCGGCAGAGGGGCAGGCCACCGCAGCCGGCGCCGGAACGTTCCCGGGCCCTGCGACTCACGCTCCGACCGAGTGTGGCGACGCCGATACGCACTATGACAAGTTCCTGGCCGACGAGATCATCCCAGCCCCGTTGGGCAAGGTATTCAGCATGCTGTTTGGTGAATCCTCTGCCGAATGGATGGGCAAGTGGATTACGGAAAACCAAAAGTGCTTTGATTTGCAGATGGAGGACAAGAAGGGCATGGGTCCAGACAGCCGCACCCGCGGATTCACTTATATCAAGCCGCTGAATGCCCCGATTGGCCCCAAGCAGACAAAGTGTATCGTCACCGAGACCGTGGACAATATCGATTATGAAAAGGCGGTTAACGTGAGCGTGGCGACGCAGAACCCCGACGTCCCCAGCGGAAACATTTTCCGCGTCAAGACCAAGTACTGTCTCTCGTGGGCTGAGAACAATGCCACTCGTGTGCAGGTCAACTGCACTACAGAATGGAGTGGCAAGAGTTGGCTCAAGGGTATGTGTCCCCTGTTCTTTCCATATCATTTTCTTGCTTTTCATCTACAGCCTAGCTAACATGTCACTTTGATATAGGTACCATTGAGAAGAATGTCAACGAAGGCCAGGCCCAGTACTGCAAAGATTTATTTGCAGCCCTGAAGGCGGCTGTTTCTACCCGACCGCGGTCCGCTACTAACGGAACCGGAGTTGCAAAGGGCAAGAAGAAGGGCAAGAAGAGCAAGGCGCTGCAATCATCAACCGAATCCATTAGCCCAAGTGCACGCGCCAAGAAGGAAGAACCAAACTGGGGCCTATTGGAACCGGTGCGCCCGATCCTGGAACCCATTGTCGATATCCTCAAACCGATCCTCACGGGCAATATCGTTTACGGGCTCCTCGTGGGGTTGTTGGTTGCGACTTGGTTTGGGTTTGGCCTCACGCCCAACAACAAGAGCCCCGCACCGTTTGGGCATGAACCCGCCATGCCGAGCGCATATCGTCTTGCGGCATACGACGAGATGTGGCGCCGGGAAGACAGCGAGCTCTGGGACTGGCTGGAAGAGCGGGTGAGCCTGGAGCGGCTTTCGGTAGAACGGTCGAATGCTCGCAGGCGAGAGGCAGACCCGCGAACGTTGGAAGACAAGCTGAGAGAAGAGCGCATGGACGAGCGAGAAGTGCAGGAAGCGATTCGAGTCACGGAGGAGAAGCTCAAGGTGTTGAGAGAAGTCATGGCGAGAGGCAAGCTGCTATAAGCTGCACGCCTTGTAAGAACGTTTTCACCATCTTTGTTCAGGTCACACACACATACGGCACGGCACAGCACCGCACAGCACCGCATGCGACGCAACGCACATTACGGCATACATATCATATGTTTGAGCCCTTTCTTTAGTCAAAGTATTTTCCTTAGTTTATGTATATATAAGAGTACGGAGTATTGGCGAGCCCAGCGCGGGGAATATCACAATTGTCTGCTATGAAGGGTTGGGCATTTTCCTACTGCCACCAGTGCTTGTGTGACAACGGCTCAGGTGAGCTCGCTTCGAATCAGTTTGTACATGGCATGTACGGAGTACTTTTTTGCAAAAAGCCTGCTAGTAGTATTGAAAGTCAAATGTCCAAATCCCACGTCTAAAAATGTCTACCTGTCGAGAGACGATGTCACCACAAGAAACCTAGCAGGTGAAGTATCGCCACCCGCTGCTGACACACGTTATGAATCAAGTATAGTAGGGGCCGCGTCTAGGTACTACCTACTACAGTCGGAATTTCGGTAATAGAAAGAAATCTCACTTCCAAAGAGGCAACCGTCGCCAATACGGAATGGTTTTGTTTATCTGATCCCATGAATGGGCAGTTTCTTGTTTTTTTGGGGGCGGGAATTTCGATTTTCACGGGCAAACGGGCTTTTGGGTCATGTTTTGTGTGGGCTCCGTCTTACAGGACTAGAGAAGAGTCTAGAGGCCCGAGTCAGCCTTGTGAAGGCTCGTAAGTTGCCTTGAAGTGGCTACTCTTTTTTTTTCTGGCTTCCATCCATGTGTTATTATTTTAGCGCGACAATCAACAGGCCGCCACAGGAATGGCATTCTTTTCTGGCTGTGGCTTGTGTTTACTTGTTTTTTGCGTAATAGGGGGAGCGAAAAGATGCCTTGGGGTGGTGCAAGGGCGAGTTGAAGGATTCTTGTGCTCCGGTGGTACCGATCAGGAACGCGAGAGAAGAAGAAAGAAATGGTGCGAGGTTTGGGTTGAACAGAGAAAGGGACAAGAGCCTAAAGAAAACAAACAATGATTAAATAAAAATAAATAAGTAATATATTGAAAATTGAATTGTTGTGTTGTTGTGTTGTTGTGTTGGCTCTCAGGGGCTAAACATGCTCCCAAAAGGCCACACATACCTCCTACACGTACGAGTACAGTAGGCCCTGCAGTAGTTGGCATCAATCATGAGTTGCCAACACCAACAAAAAAAAACACCGTGAGAAAATGGAAGACCAAAAAGGACAACAAACAAGAGAAAAGAAGGAAAAGAGGAAAAGAAAAAAATCACCCCACTTGGTGAGTTTGCCGAGTTGACGTGGCTTCACGTCGCAAATGCCAGCAAAGAAAAACGCCAAAGCACAGGGACGGAGACAACGGAGCTGGCCATGTAGCATTACAGATGGCCTTGGCGGCTCGAATGTACGAATTGTATGATTCTGGAGGTCACGACTACATGGAATCAGGAATAAAGGGGGGGGGAGAGCCGGGCGTTGCGATTATGCCCGAAGAGCGGTCACGGTTTGTGGTTGTTTTTTTGTTAATTGGCGGTGGCAGAGGTTGGAGGCTCTCAAAAACGGTTGGGGGGGAGGAGGGGGATGGAGGCTCTTTTTTGCTCCCTGTAGGTATTTTTTGCTTGGTGGTTGGGAGGTAGTATTGGTGTGTTTGTACGTACGTAACCTGTATGCTCCGTACGCGTGTGCGTTATAGGGAGTTGAGTATTGAGGAGAAGTCAAAATAGAAAAAAGGGAACATGGCAAAACCAAAGTGGGTGTGAGGAGGCTGCATTGATGATCGAATCTGAGACAACAGACGCCCGAAAGCAGAATGATGAGAAAACTAGAGAACCGCAATGATGGCAAATGAACAACAACGACGGCGTCAACGTCATATTTGCCGGCAGCAATACTTGCCCAAGTACTTGTCCGACTAAGTTCCCTGATCTGATGCTGGGCCCCAATGGTCAGATACTAGCGGCTCTCTGCGCCTCAGCTTTATCTCTGCTTGTACCTGGATGTGGCGCAGCTGCCCCTCGGTTAAGCAGCGTTCACGAGCAAAAACTACCTAGTAGGTACGGGAACTAAGGCCTAAGCCCTCCAACAACCAGACCCTTTCTTACACTTTGTAGTTTGCACTCCACGGCACGCAAATATCCCGGGCACTAACGGAGTTGGCGATGTCCGTCATGATCGAATCAAGATGCCCAGAGAGAACCAAGCCCGAGAAAAAGAAAAAAAGAAAAAGAAGGCCAACAACGGCGGCGGTCCTCGTGATGCCTTCGTCGTCGCAACAAGCCCGTCATCGCTTGCTACTACTCCGGTGCCTTGCGTACGAGCACTAACACGATGCAGGCCCGGTCTCCAAAGGGTACTTGGCCTCAAGCCACAGTCGGGGGGCCGATTTGGGATGCAGCGCGCAGGGATCAGCCTGGCAAAGACAAGACAAGAATTGGCCCATCAGGAGGATCCCTTTGGTCCCCCCCCCCTCCCTCCTCTTGGTCGCCTTGCGAAATCGAGAATCAGCCGCGGAACGGTGGGCATGCACCAAGCCGGCCCAGAGAGACCCCTGCGCGAGTCCTACTAAGCTCGATGCAAAGTCCTAGACCTCATTCGCCCGTGCTTGTAGGACCGTTGGCAAGCTGCCTCCAAGGCTCCAGCTCACGCTCATGCGATTAAAGAAAAACACCATGGACGGTGCCTGAAAGGTGGCCGCTCGCCTCGACCTGCCCGTCTATCCTCTTACACTTTGCCACTTTGCTGTACAGCATCTTATTCGAGCCCCCCGATTCAGGCCCATCTCCACATCAACGGCCCCTTGGTTGGGAGAAGCCTGCGTCTATACCTTGCCCTACGGCACCTTGCCCTTATGCCCGGGCCCGTTTTCGACCACCAAGCACCAGAGTCAAGGGCATAGCTACAGACCGCCATGGAGAACAAGAAAGTCGACGACCCTGGTGCCCTGGCCTTGCGGCGTCTGGTCCGAAGCCCAACCGGCAGTCGTCTGGCTCCCAGGCGCTCGTCGACAAGTGCTTCATGTTCTTCCAGCAGCAGCTGCTCGAAATCTTCAGTGACTTCGTCAGTCGACGGCGAGATGCCGACTTCCTGTGTGTAAGTGAAAAAAAAGCCCTGTTTGACGGAAACCCTCAGGGAGACGACGGGGGGTGTTGGTCAAGACCAGGACAAACGATTAGTTGATATCCTCGTTCTTCTTCCTTCTGCTCCGCCTCGTCGCCTCCCTACTTTTTTTTTGGTCTTTATTTTGTTTTGTTTCTTCTTGTTTCATGTGCTACGTACTGACTCTCGGTTTTCTTGCTTCCTCCCCTGAAGCTCACGCAACACTTCGAGCGACGAGTGTGCCTTGCACAGGTTCATCGTATGGGCAGCCGTCAAGCGCAATGCCTGCCCAAAGATGACTTCCGAAGAGCGGCGGGAGTGTCCCTTGCTGCGCTGCCGCAAGAGGTTCCCCAACCATGAGCTCATGCTGCAACACCTGTATTCCTGCGACCACCTCGCCGGCGGAGAATACTGGTGCTATGACTGCGAGAAGCCCGAGCAGCTCAGCGATGTCAAGTGCAGGCGCTGTCTGGGCCACCCGTCCAAGAGGAGAAAGATCATGACCATGGCCAAGAGCTTCTTCAGCTCGCTGGGCCACAAGCCAAAGTCCCATAGCCTGGCGCTGGTTGCGTCCATGGGCATGGGCTTGGGCGTGGGCGTGGGCGACGGCGGCGGCGGCAGCGCTGGCGGGGGTGAGGACGAGCCCCCAAGCTACGACTATGTGCTCTTCTCGCCTCCGCCTCCGCCTCCGCAGGCCGAACTCTCCTCGAACGAGATACATGAAATCGGTTCGAGCGAGGTGCTGCTCCCCACTATCCCGGAGTGTGAGACCGAGACTGAGCCTATACCCGCCCCTGGGATGATCCCCTGTCTCCCCCCATCCACATACCCCATCTCACCACCAGGCTCCCACCCGGGAACCGCGCCGCTGCCGTCGACTATGGAAGCAGACTTCATAAATTGGAGGCCTTCACCACCTTCACCACCTTCCCCCCAGACCGTGGCACCTCAGAGCCTGATGAAGTCGAGCACGTCGCGGTTGGTCGATCGTCCAACGCTGCAGGTCAACACCCACCTCGACCAGTTCCGAGGCCAAGGGAGACGACGCAGCAGGGTGCTGGCCCCGAGCTCCTCTGTCCGGTCCACCAGCAGCACCGACAGCACCGACAGCACTGATAGCACCGCCAGCTACAACATCTCGCCCATGTCGGGCTGGTCCAACGGATGGACAAAGACGTCCGGCTTCGAGTCTGCCTTGACGTCACCTGACGACCTCATCAGTCCTCAGAGCCTCCTGCCCGTCGGTCCCTTCTCGACCACCACCACTGCTGCTACTGCTACTAATACTGCTGACGGTACCACCACCTCGACGAGACCAAAACCCTTTAGCAACTTGGAGTTTGAGAACATGGTGGCCAACTCGTGCCCATCAGAGCTTCCCGCCGACATTCCCATGTTTGACTTGCCCTCCACCATGGATCCTCAAAAGACACAGGCGCCCATGAGCCTGGACCAGGCCGCCTTCTCCTTCAACACTGATATTCCTTTCCAGCTCCAATTGGAACCTCAGCTGCCCTCACCCGATAGTGTCGACCTTGGCCTTGCGCCGCCGCCGCCGCCACATCCTGTACCACAGCAAACTACCAGTAACACCGAGCCAAGTCTGATGCAGAATACCACCAATGCCTCCAACCTCACCACCACCGCCACCACCATCACCACTACCACGCAGTCACTGGCCAGATCAGTCCATGACACGCTCCGGATGCATGTTGCCGATTCAATCAGCAAGTTCGACACCATTAATGAAAACCCCATCTTCATGCAGCTCAACCAGATGTCGCTCCCCTCCATCGCGGCTGTTGGTCTGGAGACCATGACTGAGATCCTGGAAGGCCGCCAAGCCTCATCGCCCCTGAATCTCGTTTGCTTCGTCCACATCGTCTTCTCTCTATCCGTGGTGATCCATGAACAAGATGTCGCCAAGCACTCTGCTGCCCTCTTTAAGCAAGCATTGCTGTACAGCGATTGGTTCTCGGACAACGACAAGATATCATTCATCGAGGTTGTCTATACACTTTGGAAGCCCAGTCAAGTAAACGATGACGAGATTATTGCACTATTGAAGTCAAGGTCACCGGTTCCTAGTGCCGGCATGTCCAAGGGCAAACAGCCCGAACGGTTCCCTCAATGGTCGAGGCCTGACCCGCTGATACTGATTGCGGCCTACTTCCTAGATGGTACATATGCGCACTCAATCCTCCCGTCCCTTTCCCTCCCTTTGCTCAAGACGCTAATGTGTGTATGTGTGTGTGCTATACCATAGAGCTCGAGTACATGGCCATCAATGACAGCAGCTATACGGGACAGGCCTCTGAACTTGCCATGCAGCACCACAAGGACGGCCTTGGAGCAAGCCACAATTCGCCGTTCGCCATTGCAGCCAGGTTCATGATTGACAACATCTTTTCTCATGAATACTCTCACTACCCAGGGTTTGAACTCCGCATGGAAAGACTCATTGGCCAAATCAACTCTGGCGAGGTGGGAACGGTCCGTCGCTTGGAGCTAGAGCTGATGCAGGCCGGAAGGGTGAGATAGAGAGCCACTTTTATTTTCCAAAAATAAAGAATGCAACGACAGCTAACCAGGGGAAACATCTAGACGTACCTACCTCCCGACGCATTCTTTGGCGAATATGTCGAAGTCGTCCGTCGGCAGACCGATTCGCTGTACACGCAGAGCCCGTTTTTCAGCTCGCGATCGACGTACCACCGGTGCGGCATCCAGCTGCTGATGAAGGAGTCCAACAGGAACCCAGTCACTGTGGAGGCCGGCGTTGAGTCATCGGCGCCGTCTTCCGGAGCGCTCAATGGAATCGTGGGCGTGATACCAAACAGCTTCGACATCGACTTTGGCTCAATGCTCGACTTTGATCCGGACCAAGGATTGGACGACGATGTTGCCGAACCTGCGGCCATTGCCGGCGCCCCACTCATGGGAGCCTCGAGGTGGACACCAGGAGATGCCGCATTTGTCACAGTCACAGCAGCAGACGGCACTGCCGCCATAGCCACGCTTGCAGCGCCTCGGCCTATGGACGCTGATGCGCTGCTGCTGGGGGAAGACGATGCGCTGATATCCCCGATTGCATCGACGCCCAACAAGGCAGAGGCATCGGTATCGGCATCGGCATCGGCATCGTCGACCAAGGTGGAATCCGACAGCTGCTGCAAGATTTGCGGCTATCGACCCAAGGGCGACCCCCGGTGGTTCATGGGCAGCATGGCCAAGCACATGAGGACGATACACAGCGAGAACCCCCAAACCTTCCGATGCCCTTACCCGGGCTGCACGAGCCAGTACAGCAAGCGCGCGGACAACCTACGGCAGCACCAGATTGAAAAGAACCACTTTGTGGACGACGAGGAGAAGCAAGGGCGGCGACCGCGCAAACGGAAGCGTCCGTCAGACGGCGGCGGCGGCGGCGGCGGCGAATGATGATTTTACGCTCCCTTTTTCAATAATCTCTCTCTTTTTTATTTTTGCGTTGTCTTATTTGGGATTTCATCTCTCTTCTTTTTGTTTTTCACTTTTTGTTTTTTTCATACCCTCTCATTCTTGTTTTGTTTCTTTTCTCCGTTGGCCATTTGAGACATGTTTTGGACATTTACATGAGCAGCAAGAGCAGGCGAGGCGTATATATGGGAACCAGGCCACAAAGACGCGATACAATGATTTGATATCCACGAGCATAACGACGGGGGGCGGCGTGGGTTACAACTCGCATTCACATGACATACCGAGAGCGTTGTGTCGGTCAAGCGGTGTTTGTTGGGTGGCATTGGGCATTTACCCTGCAGGGGAACGGAGGGTGACGTATGGGGCGCTGCCAGCACGAGAAGCAGTGTCCCGTCTCTCCTCGATATATGATGTCTTGTTTTTTTTTTTTCCTTTTTCCTATTTATTTCTTTTTGTCGTTTACTTGATCCTCTCTCCTACTCCTCTCTTACATCTTTCATCTCCTTGTCTACCTATCGCGTATCTTTTTTTTTTTTTTTTTTTTTTTTTTTTTAGTATTTACTTCTCGTTACACTACCTTTTTAGCTTTGGATTTCCTTTCTTTTCCTTTTTATCGTCGGCAGAGATGCTATGCTACAAGTAGTTTGTATGCATATGCAATGCAGATCAGAAAGAGGATTAGTGGCAGTGCCCCGGAGTGGTCTGGATTGCTGACGGGCCGTGTGGTCGAGCCGAATCTATGACTTGGCGAAGGGAGAGCGAGAGACAGAACTGGCCTTTTTTTTTTTCTCTGTTTGGTTGCCGGCAGAGTGAGAGACAGAACTGGCTTGTTTTCCTCTCTTTTTTGTTGCCGGCAGAGCTGTTGACAGTTTTGTATGTACGTACGGGGGGGAGCAGCGCAAGGTACTACACATCACATGTACGAGTTTCGATACAGCCTATTATAGACGAACGAACGGGTCTCTTGACGGATCGCACAAATCTTTTTGGCAAGTACAAGTACGTAGCACAGGCTGGACAGAGCAAGCAAAGTAGCAGTACCAGCGAAAAAAAGGTGAGACATGCCAGTACCAGGCATCTCAGCTGGGGGTCCACCGCGTTGGCATGGCCAGGGTTGTCGGATCGCAAAATCCAGGCCGGAATTCCCTTTTTTTTTCCTTTTTTTTTTTTTTGCACACGCTGCATCTAGCAGGTGACCAAGTCAAGTCTCCCGCTTCCGCTTTCTACCTCTCTGGGGGCTCCCTTGGCGCGGGTAAAAGGCGCGCTGAGTGGCGGACACTCGACACTGTGCTTGCGGCGCTTGTGAGATTGGCACCCCATTAAAACGGACAGAGCAGCTCGCGGTTGGATTGGGCAGAGGCTCACGTAAGTTTTGGCCGGGCTGACATCACATGGCGCATGCGCAAGGTGGCCAGGCGGACTTTGACGAGGTGATTCGACGGCGTTTTTTGGATGGATGGGATGGTCTCTTGTGTGTGCTATACTTGGCACGTTGGGATGGTATGTGTGAAACGAAAGTACGAGTACGGAGTACAGGTAACCTGAGGGCGAGGTAGGGGGGGCTTGGGGGATGCGAGGTATGACGACAAAGCACAGCAAAGGCCCTGCATGGTGGCCGGATCAGAGGCACCAGGTAGCGGTACGAGGAGGTACTCGAGACGGTCGCGCTACCGGCATGCCGAGTACAGGACGAGTCGACACGGAGTACCTATACCGCCCAGTGCTGCGTGCTCGTGTGTGTTACCCGTACACCTCAGCTTGGATGCGTCAGTACCTGGACGGAGCACGTCGACCGGAATGAATCGTCAAAGGATGGAGGGGGGGGAAGATGAGATGCGCGTTCGATGTGGCGGATAGATAGGGCTGAGCAGCATCCCGTTTTGCTCGATGCCGGACCCTGAACCTGACCTGGAGCGATGTGATGCTCCGAGCGGAAGGACAGGGTTAGTTCGGAGTACGAGTTGCTGTGGGAGAGGTTTTTGTGTAACCGATGGATGTCATCAATCGAATCCCTGGATTCGCATGTACAAGCATCGCTGGAGAAGGGTACCTAACGGCTAGGTAGCGGTACAAATTCACAAGGCAGCAGCTGGGGGGGCAGTGCAGTGCCGAAGGGAACATGGGAAAACGCAACCCCCCCTGTTGTCGCTGGCGAATTGGGCGTGGGAAACAGCGGGTGGGGTCTGTCCGCCCAGCCCATAATAAACCCAGCCCATCGCTAATCCATGCCAGCGCCGTGGTAGAGGCCAGACAGAGGCAGAGAGGGAAAAAAAAAAAAGTGACAAGAAGACACGAAAGAAGGGAAGAAAAATTCTCAGCGCTCAGGACCCCAAGGCTCAGTCAGCAGCAAGACGGGAAGAGAGAGAGAGAGAAGAAGCACAACTTTTGCCCCCCCCATCGTCTAGATCTTGCTTGTCAACCCCCCCCCCCCCCCCCCTCTCCCCCCCTCTTCAAAAAAAAACCCCCTCTCTCAACCCCCCAAGGTTCCCCAAACGCACACCAGCAGTTTGCCTGCTCGCACTTTTTTTTTTTCTCTCTCTCGCTGGTCTTTTCTGCCCACACCTCCTACCCAGCGCGCACCTCCACGCTTTGCACGCCTCTGCCAGCCCCATTAACGACACCCCCGAACCAGGATTCCGGGTTTGCTGGATAGAAAACGAGGGACGGACAGGAAGCACAAGGAACGAGGGACAAACGTCGAGATTCGAGATCCAAGATTCGAGGCGCTGTCGCTGCAGAACGTCGGCGTTCGACGCTTGACCGTCGCGATCGAGCGATCGTAGAGCCGCGACCGGCCGGCTGACGACGACACGCCCTGACGCCGACCGGGCCGTGCTCGTGCTTTTTGTGATTTTTTGTTTTGTTTTATTATTTTTTTTGTAATTTTTTTTTTCGCGACTCGAGTTCGGTCGACGCGGTCTTCTTGCTTCGACGACCACAGGAAAGCCTCATCATGGCCAACCTGGGCCAGTCCGGGCCCAATCCCCACGGCCTGGCTTTCCCCCAGACGTCCTTCAGCAGACGCAGCACCGGCTTCGCTCCCGCCCACCCGAACCAGCCCAACAAACAGTCTCCCGCGCCTCAGGCGGCCTCGCCATACCAGTCGCAAGCCTATCCGCCGCAGCAGCCGCCTCAGGGCTATCCGCAACACCTCTTCAACACGCCGGCGTCGGTCAACGCCAGCGTCGCCAATGCCTCGTCGCGCGCGCCCAACCTCCACGTCTCCAATGCCCTGCCGCGGCAGCAGCGCGCCGCTCCGCCTAGGCAGCAGATGCAGGCCCAGCCGAACCCGCCGCCCATGCTCTTCCCGACCTCGATGAGCCAGCCCGTCGCACACGAATCCATCCTCTCTCACCAGCACCATCCGCAACACCACCCGCAGCAGCACCCGCAGCAGCACCCGTCTCAGCAGGCATTGGCCGGCCATCCGGGGCACGCGCAGCAGCAGCAGCACCACCAGCAACAGCAGCAGCAGCAGGCCGTACAGCAGCAGCAGGCTCAGCAGGTCCAGCATCACCCGCAGCAGCAACAGCAGCAGCAGCACCACCAGCAGCCGCATCATCCTGCCTACGCCCAGCACCCTCAGGCTCATCAAGCGGCCCATGCCTCTCACCAGACACATCAGACGCACCAGACGCACCAGGTACCGCAGCAGATTCAGCAACAGGCCCAGCACCAGCACCAGCAGGAGCAGCTTCATCATGTCCAGCAGTCCCGCTCCCAGCAGCAGGCACAGCAACAGCAGCAGGCGCAACAGCAACAACAGGCGCAACAACAGCAAGTACAGAAGCAGCATCAATCTTCGCGGCAGCAACTGCAAATCCCACAGCCCCAGGCTCAGCAACCGGTGCAGCAGCAGGTGCCGCAGCCGGTTCCGCAACCAGTCCAGCACCAGGTCCAACAAGTACAACACCAGCAACAACAACACCAAGCTCAGCAGCAAGTACAGCAGCAGCAGCAGCAGCACCAACAGCATCAACATCAACAACAGCAGCATCAACAACAACAGCAGCAGCATCAGCAGTTACAAGCCGCCGCTCAGCAGCCTGAACCCATTTCTCAGCAGCAGCAGGATAGTCATGCGGGAGAGGACTTGGACATGGACGGCCAACAAGACGGAGACGACGACAACAGCACTCTGGCGCCGTCCAAGCTGATGAACGATCAATTGGCGGCCACTCAACCCTTGGGAGAGATGATGTCACCACCTCCTGAAGGCGGCAGTTATCCCACGCTCGAGGCCGTTCAGAAGGCCGTCTTGCGCTACTGCACCTCGGTCGGTTATGCTATCGTCATTGGACGGTCCAAGAAGACGGTGCCAGGATTGAAGAAGGTGCTTTTCGTTTGCGATCGGGCCGGAAAGCCGCCAAGCCGAGTCAGCCCCGAGTTTCGAAAGCGTAAGACATCGTCGAGAAAATGCGACTGCCCCTTTGGCTTCTTTGCCATTGAGCAGCGAACTCAGTGGACTATCCGCTACCGGCCGGACCCTTCGCACTTGCAGCATAACCATGGGCCGAGCGAGAGTCCGTCAAATCACCCCGCAGCCAGAAAGCTCGACAGCAAGATGGTTGCCGCTGTGAAGCAACTGAAAGATAGTGGTTAGTATTCTCCCCCAAAACAATGTCTAAGAATGATGGGAGTGGAAAAGGGGGGAGGCGGAAGACCTGTTGGGCAGAAATTCTCGCTAACCGATCCTATGTGTAGGTGCAGGCGTATCTGAAACACTGCAGATTCTCCAAACTGATAATCCTGACTGCCACTTGTTACCGAGGGACATTTACAACGCGCGTGCGGCCATCAATCGTAATCCGCAGAAAGTAGCCACGGGCCTGGCGGAGAATCGGCCGGCCATATATACCAAGCCGTTGCAGTCGCCCGAAGACCGCATACGAGCCGAGCTGAGGCGCGAGCTGGCCAAGGCTCGCGAAGACTTGAAGAAGATTGAAGAGGAGAAGCAAAAGGAGATTGACGACCTCAAGGCCAAGATGGCGGAAAAGGACAAGCTGATAGAAAAGTTTGAAATGTTTATTGACATTTGTAACGGCAGAGTCATTCTCCAGAGAGAAAGGCTAGCTGGTCCTGAAGGGGGCGCGGCGGGCGGTGTCAACCCGAGTGTTTAAGCCCTTCTTCTCTGTTTTGAGTTTTGCCCTGTTCCCTTCAAACAAACCCCTTTCTTCCCTCCTCCTCCTGGCGTATCGGGTCTTTGATATACACAATAAAGGGGGCACTTGGAGAGAAGCTTGGTCGTTCCGGTTCTAACGGAGTGTTAACATACGGAGAGGCGTTTAAGAAACGGTATGGTGTGCTGGTTTCCCATTCATTATGACTCTTTTTTTTTGTGTTTGCTTATGCAAGTATATGACGCCGTTGCTCGATTTCTCTTTTGCTTCTCTTTTTCCCCTTTTCTTTTTCATCAGAGGAGGTGGATTCATTTCCGACCTGTCCAGAGACTTACATAAGAGGGCTTTCTTTGCATTGAGGTCTTTCCACTTATCCTTTTTTGCCTTTCGATGTTTCTTTTCTTATTTTTTCTTTTCAGTTGGGGTGATTCGAGGGGCGTCAAATATGTAAACACTGGTTTTTGAGGATGATGAAGGAAGGGGGGATGTGATGGATAAGGAAAGCAAGTTGGTAGTTTTCATGTCAGTAGAATTCACTTGAGGGTCAATGTTTGAATGATGAAGTAGATGTTTTTTTTCATGTGGATGTGGCCCTTTCTCTTGCTTCTTTGTCTCTGTGTTTTTGCTGCTGCTCAATTTATATACATGCCTCCATTTCCTTATTGAGACGAGCACAGATACTTAGTCCCTATGACCCTGTAACGTGGTACAGCTAATATGCACGTACCTACATAGGTACTTATGTAGCTTTGTCCCGGAAAGAAAAAAAAATAGGGTGGAGTGTTAATATCGAGATACCGGGAAAAGAGGATTAGGAAAAAAAATTGTTGGTTGAGGCGTGGCGTGGCTGTATAGAAATAGGCTTTTTTTTTTTTTTACTAAAAGGGAGGTGTGTGTTTTTTTGCGGTTTTATATAGCATGAGTGGGAGGTACACATTGACGGGAATTTAAGCTGCTAACCTTTGGGAGGGGGGTTTGTGTGGTGTCGAGTTAAGTTACCCGGTAGACGCACCCCGTGTGGTTGGTATCTTTTTTTTTCTTCAGGGGAGGTGTGTGCCTGAGGTTTAGGGGGGAGTTGCGGGATGGTACGGGTATTGGAGGTAAGGTTGAGTTTAGGTGGATGAATGGTGCTATGTAGGTACCTATGGATGTGGTGATTTTTCTTTTTGAGGGGGGTGATAGTGGGATGGTTGATGAGATGAGTGTTTTGGACGATTGGTGAGGGATTCTACGTATGAGGAGTGCTGGAGGTGTTGGGGGAGTGATGGATGGAACAAGTGTTATGGAGATTGAGATTCTACCATTAGTTGCCGTCCACTAAGACTGACTCTAGGTGTAAGTGTCAGGAGTACATGATGTCAGATGTACTCGTACTCGGTGGTAAAGTGCTTCGGCTTTCAAATCCCAAACCACGAGTAATTAACTGATGCGCAACTGGCATCTTCTCTACATCAACGCCTTTTTCTGTTCCATCCACCAAAAACTAAAACATCCAAACAATGGCCCAGACGCCACGCCTCCAGCCAATCAGGCACGCATTCGACCTTGCTCGCACCCCCACCCGCGTGCGCTGGCAGCTTGTGTTGTCCCACCGCCTGACGGACGATTGATTGATTGATTCAGAGACTAGAGACTAGAGAACTAGGGGTCCCTCCGTCTGGGTTTGGTTGGTTTGGGGTTGGAGGTTGGAGGTTGGGGCCGTTTTAGCTTCCACCAGGTCGACAGCTTGTGCCTGTTCTGTAGCGCATTTTGTGGATTGGATGCATGTTTCTGTCTCGTCTTTGTCTTGTGCGGTGAGCCTCCTATTCGTTTCTCTGCTTCTTTCTCGCTACTGCACGCATTGTCTTTGTTCGTCTTTTCGTCTTTTTTCTTTCTTTCCGCGGTTTGCTCTGAACTGAACCCCTGCAGAGACCAAAAGTCGATTCTTGCTCGCTTGTGATAGAGCGAGACCCCGGAATCTCGGAGTGTTTATTTTTGTGTCGGTGTACTCCCGCTGCGGTGCGGTACCTCGAGCTACTTCTGCCAAGGTACGGCTCTCAACGTGCAGCGACGCCACGCCCTGCATTCTCTCCTTGCGAAACCTCAACCTCGTGCTTTGGACTCTCAACAGCTCCCAGCTGCACGCGAATAGCATCTTCTACCGACTTACCTACTGCTTGTACTTCTTCCCCCCCCTTGTCGAGCTTCCTCTTGTCCCGTTCCTCTGCCCGAGCCCCTCTCCACACAACCCCTGGCCAACATTCCTTCTTAGCCCCCCCGATAAACGAGCAAACGAAGCGACCTCGACACACCCCACCATCGAAACCTATCCCGACGTCTCTGGAGATGACCGGCTTCTCGACATAGAAGCTCCCTTGTCCCCCTTCTTTTCTTTCTCAGTCTCTTCCACAGACTCGACGCTCGCGCCATGGAAGTGACCTCGGCCAACGCCCCGAGCCTCGGCGCCTCCAACGGCAACGGCAACGGCGTCTCGATCCCGGCGCCCTCGTCGCCCTCACCGACGCCGACGCCCTTCCCGACCATCGAGCCCGAACGCGTGGTTGACCACCTCGCCGCCATTTGCGAGATTGCCCTGGGCGCATTGCGGAGCGACCTGGAGCTGCCGGGCAACCTGCTGCACAAGGCGTCGTACGCAGAGACCGTTTCGCGGTGCACGCGCTTTGCCAACGATACCCTCAACGTGCTGTATATACAAAAGGACGTGGTCCAGTCTGGGTCGCTGGAGAACGGCAACGAGAACGGAGACGCGGGCGAGAATGGCAATGGCGTTGCTGGTGAGGATTTCTGTACTTCTCTCTTCCCCTCTCCCTCCCCGACTCCCCCCCAATATTTCCTTGTTGTTGCTGTTGTTTCTTTATAGCAGCTTTTGTTTTGCCTTCTTTGAACTGACGCTGGCCGATAAGCTCCCTCTACCTACGACTACACTCTTTCGACCGAAATCACCTCTACACCTACTACCGTCGCCACTTTGATTTTGCTCAAGGCATCGCAAGCGATTGATCCTTCTCGTCCTCTTACCTCTCAGATATTTATTACTAATCTACCTGGTCCTGCCTCCCTTAATGCCGCCTCGGGAGAGCAGGGCGTTGCGCTCTCACCGTGGGAGGTGCTCCATTCTCAAGTCCACCATGCCTTGGTGCCATACTTTGACGCAAACAGCAAGAGCCAGCAGCTTGCCAACGGATCCAGGGGGCGAGATGTCGATGCGAAGACGGGCATTCCCGTTACCAAGAAGCGGTTGAACGACTTGGAGCTGAGTCTGCTCCATCTGCAGCAAAACGTCGACATCCCCGAGATTTCTCTGGCGTTCCACTCGCTTATTCAGAATGTCCTCGACGATGCCGAGGTCACCCAGACGAAACCCTCCATGGAGGCGATTCCGAAGAATCTTCTACAAGACAGCAGTTTTCTCAACAAGCTGCAGGCCAACGTCAACACCTGGATCAAGTCCATCCAGGGCATCACCAAACTGACAAAGGAAACCTCGTCCAACGCCGTTCAGGAGTTTAGCACCGCCAGCCAAGAGGTCAACTTTTGGCTGTCCATGGAGTCTGCGCTGGAGGGCATCGAGGACCAGCTTAGGAGCGAAGGTGTCCTCCTGACCCTCGACGTGTTGAAGCATGCGAAGCGTTTCCAGGCCACGGTCAGTTTCGTCGCCGATACGGGCCTGAAGGAGGCCAAGGAGAAGGCGCAAAAGTACAACCAGCTGATGCGCGACTTCCCGCTCGACGAGCTGCTGTCTGCCCCGTCTCTGCTCAAGGTGGAGGAGGCTATTACTCAGATCTTTGCTCACTTGATGAAGAAGCTGAGGGTCTGCCCGTATCCTATTCGGAGAGCGCTGAGCTTGGCTCAGGCCATTTCGGCGGACCTAAACGACGTGTTGCTTCGTTTGCTTCCGGGTACCGAGCTGGTCAACCTGGGCTACCCAGAGTTTCAAAACGTCATGCGAACGTGCGACAGCATCTTCGTTGCCTGGGAGGACAATATCAAGGAGTTTACGCACCTGGCTCGTATGCTCATCATCCGCAGAAACGAGAAGCGTATTCCCATCAACGTCGAGAAGAACCACTCCGAGCTGGAGTCGCGAATCAAGTATGTCAGCGCATTCCGAGACAACCACGAACAGCTGCAGAGGACCATTGTCAACGTTTTGGGACCAAAGGCCATTATTCCCGGCGTTGTCGACATCACTTCCTCCTCTGCCAACCCCACTGCTACTGCTGGCGCCGTCATTGAGGAAATGGGTGATGTAGATGCAGTTGAGGAGGTCAAGCGAGCCTGGGAGGCGCTGCAGAATGTCGACCTCCTGGATGTCACGGACCAGGGCAAGGAACGGTGGGCGCAGGCCGAAAACCTGTACAATGAGCGCACCACACGAGTGGAAAACTCCATCATTGCGAGGCTGCGTGACCGCCTTGCCACGGCCAAGACCGCCAACGAAATGTTCAGAGTCTTTTCCAAGTTCAACGCCCTCTTTGTGCGGCCCAAGATTCGTGGTGCCATTCAGGAGTACCAGAACCAGCTGATGGATCACGTCAAGCAGGCTATCAATGGCCTGCACGAGAGGTTCAAGCAGCAGTATGGCCATTCTGAAGCCCACGCCATGGCGCAGCTTCGCGATCTCCCGCCAGTCTCGGGTGCCATCATTTGGGCCCGTCAGATTGAGCTCCAGCTTGACGGATACATGAAAAAGGTCGAGGCCGTCCTTGGGCCCGACTGGACCCTGCATGCCGAGGGTCACAAGCTCCGGGAGGAAAGCGAGCTGTTCAAGAATAAGCTGGACACGGGCAGGATATACGACGCTTGGCTGGCTGATGCCAACCGGCGCAAAATCTCAATCGCTGGGCAGCTTTTCAACATCAACCGAGTGAGGTCCGCGGGTGGTATTCTCGAGCTCAATGTCAACTTTGACCCTCAGATCATCACCTTGTTCAAGGAGACCAGAAACTTGACCTGGCAGTCTTACCTGGTTCCCCACGCGGTGACCACCGTGTCCAAAG